TTTTATATTTTTTTTACTTTCTTCCCGATATATGCTTCCTCAGAGATAGCTATAGGTATAGCATTCATGCGAACACATTGTATTCCTTAAGCTTGCATGCATGTTTATGTCTACCTATAGGTCGTTGAATTATCGTCCGATAGGAAGTAACTACATGTCCATCTACGCACACAAGTTTGAAGAGGAAGAGAATGGAGGATGGGCAGTTCTTCATTTCTGCCGTGTCAGAACTTGTTCTTTACTCCAATTCCCCCTTGCTCTATCTGGAGCCGATTATCAGGACGGTGTCACGGTGAAAGTATATCATGAATCATGAATGGTTGTAGTACAGCAAAAGTCAACTGTTTTGCACAAGAGGTATTGGTGGGATTAAGATTCAAGGCGGCTATTTTCAATACCTTAAGCTTTAGAGAAATGCGGCAGCCTAGTCTCGCGCGCCCTATTCGATCGGGGAAGAGAAAAAAAAACATGTTCTTTGATCAGCTAGTGATCGACCTCATAGTGCACTCAGAAAGCACAGTTAATGAATAGAAAACCACCCGGCTATTCTTTCAGGTATCTGCTCTACAAAAAAAAAAAAAAAAGAAAAAAAAGTAGCACCGGAAGTATGTCTTAGCTGGCAAGTTGCATATCATTCCTGTTCCGTAAATTAGTAGGCTGAGGTACCGGTAGTGATTTTTTTCTTTTCTTTTTTCTCCCTCAAGTAAGCAGACGCGTACGGGAATCTGCCTGGGAAGCTAGGGAGGGAAGAAAAAGAGAGATACGTATATACATGAGAGGATCTACGCGGAAATCATAGTTACCGGTGTTCACCAAACGGCAAGGCACATAACAGACACCGTACCAGTCGTAACAATCGCTAAGTAGCTAGGTTAACTGCCATATTGCATGCAGGCTGCTATTGGATCAACTCTCTTTTACTCTTCTCTTCTTGCACTCAGGCTTACGGCGCGGCAGCATGGCATACATTTGGCAGGTAAACTATGTGCATCAAGCCAATGTTCTTTTTCGCACAAACCCGTTCCTTCAGGTTCCACCGGCGATCAGAGCAACAGTAGCTTGAATGCAGTACCCCCCTGAGCCAAACCCAGCCACTGAGCGAGGCATGACTGGTTCACGTGGCTGGGGAGCCTCAGAAAGAATCGAAAAATCACGGCACCGAATATCACTCGTGGTGCTGCGTCATAGAACATGATTCATGAGAGAGCCCAGAGTGGGGTCTCGTGCGGCTGAGTGCTCCTACTCTACCTCGGGATGAACCGGGGGGTGTGGGTGTGTGGGGGTTTCTTTTTTTGTGAGCACTCTTTCTCTTTGTCAATAATATGTACGTAGGCAGCTATTCTGGGGATTTTTTCCAAGACTAAATATTGCATGTTCTGATTTGATGGAGAAGGCTATGTTACAATATCGATGACGCAGGAGATAGTGAGCCTGAAAGTATGGATACCTGTGCCGGTGATAGCTTGGGTGGGGAGGTTTGGAGGGGGGTTGTTTCGGACGCCGGAAGTTCATGGTGACCATATTGGGGTGGAGGTGTACGTACTCGGTTTCTATTTTGCTGACGTCCTATAAGGAACCTCTGGTCCAAAAGGAATACTCGGAATAGTGATCCCGAGGCCTGAAAGCTGGTCGGTGATCAGGCCCAGAGATCTGAAGATCGAAAAAGGAAAAAAAAAAAAGGAAAAAGGTGATACAGAATCCCCAGATTTTTTATTTTTTTTATTATAAAGCCTCACATACCAGTACTACCTGGACAGAAATCAAGATAAGGTCTCGAGACTGAAATAGCAGGGTTAATGTAAATGGTTGTCTCGAAGTAGTTCAGGGTTCCTTAGTTGCCGTCTTTTAGTTATTACGAAATTTGCTACTAACCACATTCATTTAGTGTGGGTAATAATAGTAATCTAGTGACACGAGGTTAGGCGTCCTATCATTCACCATAGCGAGACATCGAGAAAACAGGGCCTGTATAACATGCAAAATCATATGTAGGTACAGTCGTGAGTCGACTCGACCAGGAGTAAGCAAAAGCCCCATAAGGCTGTAATATCGAACACTCCAGAAGTCATTACTATCATGCAATTTGAGAGCGGGGTTGAGTAATACCACGCAAAATACAGCTACCTAAAAAGTAACTGAGAGTACACGCCGAGCTTACATTAATATCTTCAGACGCCCAAATAATTGGGCCACCTTGCTTACAAATCTACAAAATACACAAAAAACCTGTTCTAGTAATGTGATACCAAATCGACCATGTGCTACAGTTCCACGAGAGGGGTGGATGTCAACCCTTGTAGATGTCAACCAGTCAGGTGGTGGCGGAGGAAGATGTTTCTGTTTACCAGGAGAGCAGGAGCCTCAGACAGGTCCGATCCTTGAAACGGACGTCCCATGGCATGTTTTATTTGGCGTCATGTGACTGGCATGTCTTGTTTCAAAGCTACAAGGATCGTCCTTATATGTAACTAAACCCTAACCCTATAATTATTCCTACCCACATATATCGCAAGTGCGATCAGTTTCAGACTTTGGATTGCGCACATTGGGAAGCTATCAATCAACGTCTGTGTTCTCAATAGCATAATTCCAATTGTTCACTGTATTATATCATCGCAAGATACAAGGCGGACCACAAGTGAACTCAATGTATTTAATCATGAATAATCACTCATGCTCAGCCTTATAGTTATCTCAAATTATAAACACGCCCGGCCCGAAACGCAACAGCAGAATCTCTAAGATAAATCAAAATCACCCCCTTATATAGTAAACCACCCAATACGAGCAAAGAAGGTTGGTGCCCCTAGCTAACTCCCCGAACCTACTTGGTCTGTATACGTAGGTTGTAGGAAATGCCTTGTCGGAATAGTAAAAATCATGCTCTTTGTGGTCAGGAGGCTTAATGTTCCTATCTATTCACTACTCAGCGAATCGGAAAGCCTAGGGTGGTATGAATTCATAAAATAACATGCAAAAAAGAAGAAAAATAGAGTACTATGTCTATTACAGCCACTGAAAACGTTATCTAGTGATAGTATAGTAGTGACCTAACGTGTCCCCTCCCCTCCCAATAGGCCAGAGCAGTCCAAAGCCACCAGGAGTATTTTAGTTAAAAAATAATGCGTAGGCTCAACCCCTCATACACTTACAGAGTCTTTTTTTTCCCCGGTACCTTTGCAATTTGACCAAACTTGGGTTTCTAGGATGGCTTGGCAATGTTTAGTGCATGGTGGGAAATGATACTTTTGACCGTCACACAACCATGCCACACCCGTCCGACCCGTACCTCACTGATACTCAGTAGCGATAGTAACCCCTGAACCTTCAGGCCGAATCGAAATCAGAGGCACTCAACCCCTTTATGGTAATCGTGATGAAATCGATGCCAGAGGGTAGGATCTGTAGTCGTTGGCATGCGTAATATCTTGTAGCAGATTTCAATTCTGTGCGGTACTTGTATCACGATTATCATAAAGGGTCTGAGTGCCTCATTGCAATTCGGCCTGGCGGTTTAAGGATAGTTAATGAATCCTAAAGGCGTGTGTGCATTTAAGCTTAGCTGGCTTAACTAGATGATATCATCACCAAGAAAAAATTGAGCTGTACTCACTGAATTACATATGGGTTCTTCCCACTTCCCACGTTGTATTACTATCTTAATGTCCAATCTCTGGATATATTGACTTTAACAATCGCCTTGCACATTTGATCCACGTTCTACAACACAGTACGCTGTGCTGCTAAGATATTCTTCTTGCCTCCTAAGTTACAATCTTCGAACTCATAAGCCGCAAAACGGAGGCTGTCCCCGAGAGAAAAAAAGGTTGTGATATGTTGATTAATAAGAACTTTTAACTACCTTATTGGTTATAAGGGAAGTAGGTTAACTGTTGTAATGACATCGCCGCGTACTTATGTCGTTGACTCCCCCGCCGTAAAGTGCTTCATAAATTATCACTCGTGGTTCTCAATATGCCAACTACAGACATTAAATGCTAGATTAATTAGGTATGTCTGATTTCTATTATAACATATATACGTATAAATAAACGCCTAATATCTACTAAATAGAACCTACCATGTGATTGAACACCCCAGATACGAACCCAAAAGTACCCAGAAGCGTTTTTGTATACGTATAGATAAATTCTTCCTTTTCGGGAGTGGGCATAGCCGGCTGAGTATAACTATCTGGCTAGTTTGATACTACTAGCGGCATAATTCGTTCTGTAACTGTACCTGACGCTGGGTTGTGTACGCTCCGTACTGGAAAAGCGAGTGATACTTCATGACTAACCATCATCTGCAAGTACTGAATAATGTACTTAGTGAGACTAAAGCAGTGATGTCTATATGTCTCTGTTGAGATAGTTACACTGCTCCGGGGAGGACCAGGCCGCTGTTGCATGAGTATTGGCTTCTCTAATTAAGACAAACTGCAGACGCTCAAGGATCATGGGATATCACTCGCAGGATTTGTTAGCGCCAATGTTGGATATTTGGCTTTTCGAACTAGTATAGGTGAGCTGTCCAAATCTGTTAGATCGACAATTGCCATTACTATGTCGCCACCTGTCCAATGCGTGACTGTGTGGCTGTTGGGCTCGTTATCGAGACAAGAACCAAGTCACTTAACTATATCGTCCTACTTTTTTAACAGCTATGTATTGTAATTATCCCTGAGATAAGATACTGGCTGCTATCTACCCTCGACACAGCACAGCTCTATTCACGACTCGAACGGGTTCTATTAGATTTGATAACTATAGGAAACATGTAGCCAATCTTATTCTTATCACACCAGACTAAAGAAAAAAGAACTATTATTCCTAGCTTTACTAAAAATTACCGCCAGCTATTCTTCACTTTAGAACACAGTAGAACCTCATCCTCAATTTTGCTCCCTACTGCTGATACTCCGGCGACGGACGCCGATCCCACCCCCTCCTGGCCGCACCACCTTCAGCAGATCCCGCGGGGTGAGCATCGTATTCACTCTATTCTTCTGCGGAATGGTAGGCGGGGTCCTCTGCGACGCTGGCAATAGTAGGACGGCTCCACGGTGCAATGTTTGGTGACTCGGCACCCCATGGCACAGGAGACGGAGAAGCAGCTGGATGAGTAGGGGCAGAAGACGGGGCAGACGGGGTAGTCGTACTCCACGGTGCAATGTTTGACGACTCCGCACCCCATGGTGCAGGAGAAGGCGAAGCGGCCGAACGAGTAGGAGCAACAGAAGAAGATGGGACAGAAGTGGTCCATGGTGCAATGTTTGGCGATTCCATACCCCACGGCGCAGGAGACAGTGAAGCGGCCGAACGAGTAGGGGCAACAGAAGAAGATGGGGCAGCAGTACTCCATGATGCAATGTTCGGCTCATCTTGGCCCCACGGTGCGAGGGGCGGCGAGACAGCTGATCGAGCAGGGGCAGGAGAAGAAGCCGGGGGAGACGTACTCCACCGTGCCGGCGGCGGCGACGCCGATCTTGCTGCACCACCATTCACTCTTTCTGGAGATCCGCCGCGGCGTTCCCAGATCGGGTCTGCGTCGTGTCTTGCCGGCGGCGACGCATCCCCCCTGTTACCTCTCGCACGTAACTGGTTGGCCGTTCTCAGCAGTTCGATTTCTTTCTCGTGCTCTCTCTCAATGTCATGGATGCGTCTCTGCTCCTCCTCCATCTCCCTCATCTGCTCCCTCTTTCGCTCACGGTCCCACTGCGCATGCTTAGCGCGCTGCTCCCGCATGAATCTTTCGCGCTCCGTCCACTGCTCTCTTTCTTCAGTGAGGTCGGGGCGGCCATCTTTGGCGGCGGCGAGCTTTGTGAGCTCCCATTCGCGGGTGAGCTTTTTGGAAAGGGAGCTGAGGTCCTCGATGACGCGCTTGCAGGCGGTGGTGAGCGCTTCCTTGGGGCCTATAGTGGCATCGGTGGAGATACGGAGAGTGAAGGTGGGGAAGAGGGGGTGCGGGACTTTATAGGCGGCGAAGAGAACGTGGTCCGTGTCAAGGAGAGCGGAGGTGAGGAGGTTGCCGAGGGTGTGGTCTTCGCGGGAGAAGGTGAAGATAGCGGTATTAGGGAGGCCTGGGAAGGGGATGTTAGTGGGGTGATATCGAGGAGAGTGATGTTTGGGGGAGTGGTATTGGGTAGAGTGATATTGAGTAGAATGATATTGAAGACACAATTGAGATTTAGGGTAGGAAGTTGGGATTTGGGAGGGATAGAAGGTAGGACAGTTGAGCATGATATATCATGGCAATAGCAAAAGCAGCAGCGCAATTACAAAGAGCAGACCAAGAGCAACTCATTCCAGCAAAGGAGCAGTATTGAGCTCCCGCTATCCAAAGCCCAAAACACAAAACACAAAACCGCACACCCAAGCCGCAGATCCATAGCCATAGCCAAAAAAAAAAAAAAAAAAAAAAGCGTCAAAAAGCCATCAAACAAACAAACAAACAAAAAGAACTTACGCAAATCCCACTCCATCGTAACCCTGTCCACACACACCCACAGTTAGCATTCTTTTCTCTTTTCTCTTCTCTTCTGTGCTCCCCTCAATTGATCAAGTGATAACATACTTCTCTTCGCCCTCCATCAGCGTAAACAGCTCATACCTCTCCTGACGGTCGTCCATGTTCCGCGCATCTTGCTTCATGGTGAGAGCGAAACGTTAAAAGACCAGGAAATGCTATACCAGATGCTATGCTGGTATATGTCGTGATAGTTGATGGTTGTGTGTGACTTTGAGTTAGTGTTGGGATGAACTAGAAGATCAATGTCGTGTGGAAAATTGGAAATTGGGTGGGATGGCTGGCAGGGAAAGGTGCGGCAGGCAGCGGGAAGGACCCTGGCTGAGAGCAAACATGCACTAGCGATCATACTCTGGAATTGTCCGGGGACGGCTTTTACCGCTGGACCACTGGAGCTGGGCGCGGGTAGATTAGATAAGACCTTTAACTTCAGATTGATTGTTTAGATCTAGATGCTATGCTATTGAAGATTACATAGTACCATGTTGAGCTCAATGGTTAATGCTCCATGCTCCATGCTCCATGCTCAATGCTCAATGCTCAATGCCCCATAGAATTGTTTTAACTTGCTAAAACTGACTAGTCAGCTATACCTATCTATCTACTACATGTATTTTATAAAGAATGGGAAGCACTAACACAGATCCGCCCCGCCGCTCCCACACCGCGCCGCCATGACCATGCAGGGCCCACGGGAGATCGCCGCAGGGATCCTACCTCACCACGAAAACAAGCAAAATGCATCACACCCTGCCAATGACTACTGTGCAAGTAGAAATTGGCTTTAGAACATACACGGCTGTGATATGGGCTGTAGGCGTGGGGTTTGGTGTATATTTGGGTTTCGAGTCTATCTCACTGGTTGGACCATACCATGTCATACTATCGGGCACTATTCACGAAACACTTTTTAAAACCTTCGTGTTTACCTACCAACACAACGGAAACTACAATGAGCGGCTTCGGACGACCACCCTCGAAAGTCATTTTCTCGCCGACGCCGTAGGTCTCTTCCTCTATAGTCGCCGACCCCATACTAACCCAACCGCCCGCACCCCTCCAGTCCCGAGCGCGGCAGCTTCCCTCTCGACCATGAAGGTACACCACTCTACCTCTCCCCACCTGACCTAAGCACTAACAGTAGCGGCGCTTCCAGGCGAATGTAGATCCGTCATGACCACCTACCTGGCGTGCCTCAAGAAGGCCAAAGGCACCAACGACATGGCCTGCCGTCTGATCGCCAAGGACTACCTCAAGTGCCGCATGGACCAGTTAGTTTTCTACACCTCTCTTCAGTTTATCCGGTGGCTGATATGAGATAGTCAATTGATGGCCGTCGACGAGTTCAAGAACCTCGGCTTCCAGGAGGAGGCGCCGGCGCCGGTTGCGGCGAAGGTGGCGGTGGGCGGGAAAGGGAGTCGCCTGGATGAGCTGCGGCGCGAGAATGAGGAGCTGAAGAGGCAGCATCGGGAGGAGGATAGGAAGGCTGCTGCGGCGGCAGGGGAAAAGTAGGAGTTAGGTGTCGGTGCAGGTAGTCAGTGGTGTAGATATATAGGGTCCACACTTGTAGATTATCCGAATTGAAGCCCCGGTTCCCAAATATCGTGATCATCCGTGTCTGTGCATCGCAATCGCAACCACGGAACAACCCGCACAACCTCACTCACCTCCGACAAACCCACAAAACCCACACACAATGAACCCCCCGCGCACGCCCGCGCCCAACGCCTGCCTCATCGCGATCCTGCTCATCACCCGCGACTCCTCCGGCGACAAGCTCACCTTCCACTACCCGCCCAAACCCACCGTCGACACGCCCCTGCCGCCGACCAGCACCTACACCGCCTCCAGCGCCTCCTCCTCCGCCGCTTCCGACGTCGCCTCCTCGGGCGACGAAGACGACGACCGCCGATCTCTCACCACACTCCACGACCTAACCGCCGTCGAGCGCAGCGAGTCCGGCAGCCGCATCGGCCGCCGGCGGAGCCGCAAGGCGGTGGTGCCGGAGGAGCCAGCGGAGGAGGAGGAGACGACGAAAGATGATGGGGGCCCGCCGTGGGAGACGGTGCTGGGTTTCAAGGCGGATTTTTTAGCGGGGTTGTTGGCGCCAAAGGCGGGGATGTGTAAGCGGAAGTTTGAGCTGACGGTGGATGATGTGGTGTTTTTGGGCTTCCCGCTGCATGTGAGGCCGGATGGGTTGTGGCGGAAGAAGAAGAAACGGAGGGGGAGGGGGACAGAGGAGGAGGAGTTGGAGGAGAGGATGGAGGAGGCAGTGGTTGCGGATCGGGGGAGCGATGCTGAGGAGGAGGAGAAGGAGGAGGTGGGGAAAGAGGAGGAGGCGGAGGAGGAGGGAGTAGAGGCGGCGGCGACGGCGACGGGGGCGAATGGGGGCGATGCGGCGGATGAGGAGAAGGACGGAGACGATGAGGGGAGCAGCATTCATGGCGGGGGGATGAGTATGTTCCATGTCGTCTTTGTGCTCAATCCGCCCGAGATGGAGTACCATTTCAGGACGAAGCAGATCTTTAACGAGGTCGTCAAGCGGTTTGCAAGAGCGCTCAAGTACGAGCAGGCCAAAGACGGATATGTCTGGCGGGAGGCCGTCAAGATCAACCGTCTGCGCGACAAGGCCGTCCAGGACTGTGAGTACCACCAATCATTTCCCCACCTCGGTGTCAATGATAGTCCCTGGTGTCAATGATAGCTCCCACTAACCCCCCCACCGCAGGCATGCCATTCTCCGAGCTCTGGCGCCAGATCCTCGAGCAGAGCAGCCTCGCATACGCCATCTCGCGCATCTTCACCGACATCTCGCAGAACAAGATTGCGCACATCTTCCTCAACAAATCACTGGGGCTGTCCCTGCAGATCCCCATCACCACCGAGACCTCCGTTCTCCCATCCATCACCGACCCGCAGATTCCCGGACTCCCGCTCACCACCGCCGATTCCTTCGGTGACGACGACAACGAGGGCGACAACCTTCTCGTGCGCCACTTCACGCTCCTTTTCCTCGTCGACGTCGACAGCATCCTCAAGGACATCGCCGAGTCCAGCGACTCCACCAACTCGCTCGCGCACTTTGTAAAGTCCTGCAAGCCATCCATGAGCTTCCTGCAGATCAGCAACAGCTCCGGCATCCCGCTGCACAACATCCAACTCATGGCGCGCCACCTCATCCACTGGCGCAAGGCCCGCGCAATCCCGCCAATCCACCACAGAGACATCTACATCGTCTCGCCCAACGCCGACATGAAGCGCCTCCACACCCTCATCCCCGTCTACGCCAAACTCTTCCCCACCCTCCCCACGCTTCCAAAGATCCTCTCCCTCCTCTCCCAGAAGCCAAAGCAGTTCGCCGCCTTCATCCCCTCCCGCGACCACAGAAGCGCCTACTGCGACATCCTCGCCTGGCTGCTGCGCCACGGCCTCGTCACACAGCTGCGAAACTTTGCGTGGATCCGCGTGACGCGCGATATCAAGCTGCGCGTGTTCCGAGAGCAGCAGCAGCAGCAGACGGCGCTTCTATCGCGCTCCCTCTCGCTCTCGCGCTCCATCTCGCGCTCACGTTCCCCCTCGCCGGAGCCCAGCCGCGCGGATATCGTGGCGTCTGCGGCCTTCGCGTATGAGCCGCACCCGGAGGATCCGGCGTTTGAGGAGAGTATAGTGCTGGCGCCGCATCAGGCGTCGGCGGTGGAGAGCGCGTGGCTGGAGATGATGACGAAGGGGCAGCCGCCGGATGTGAGGGCGTTGTGGGATCGGTTGTTGAAGTATTTGAATGGGCAGCATGCGATTGAGAAGATTGCGGTGAGGGAGGGCATTAGTAGGAGGGATGTGAGGAGGGTGTTGGGCGTGTTTGATGATTATATTATATATGTGAGTATTGATCCCCCGCTGTGAGGTTTTTGTTTTGTGAGTGGAATGATGCTGATGTTGAGGGGTGAAGGCGAGGCATTGGTAAGTGGTAGGGCGGGTTAATTGTGATAGGACTCTTGGGGTGGTATATATAGTTAGTAGCAGTCCGGAGTTTGGGGTAATAATGAACATTAACCATATTTGAATGCGGGACTCACAAACTAGACTTGATCTATAATCTAATACCACGAACTATCCAGCCAACTACCCCCAAAGCGCCCCGTTCTGATGGTGTACATCCCTAGGGCTGTACATCGTTTTCCCAGCAACTCATCTATCCAGTAGGGGCCTAATAAAAAGTCGTTAAAACCAATCATTTTGCGACACCCAGCTAGAAATCAAGTGAAAACTCTCAAGTCCTTCCCCCGGCAGCTTTTATCGTGTCGTGATGAATGAGAATGGTGTTCAGTGTATTGTAAGTAAGAGAAAGAAAGAGGGAGGATAGGCCGTAGCTAATTTAACTACAGCAAGACAAGACAACAAGGCTGGGAACAGCAAGGCAGGACCACAAATCCTCTTTACAGGCGGACCCGCATATGAGCAGCCAACGACTATTTTAACAACAGCACCGCGAGGACCGTAACCGTTGATACAGAATATCCAAATATCCCCCACTCATTCCCCATATTTCATAATTGTGCTGTGATGTATTATCGCGTTTCTTTTCGTTCGTTGTTGCATGCTTTGCATTAGTCCTAGCCTTCGCCGCCCACAAGTAAAGTTGCCAGACCCGGGTTGTCAATGATCAAAGTGCATGATTCTAAACCTCAAGTTTCCTGATGGGGTTAGCGCGGTACCTGCCAAGACTTTTATGCAACCTCTCTTTCCATGTCGAAGCGCGGCCGAGAGTGTAATCCGTGTAGTCCCTACTTTCTGACCTGGCGTATTGATTGCATGCGATATCTCGGCTGGCCAGTGGAAGCTGGTGACTGCGGGGCCACCGACTCATGTGATGGACCGCCGATCATGGATAATCACTCACCCAAACCCGGCCCTTTTCCACAGCACGAAGAAATAATCTGTACTTCTGGCTAGGGGGGGTGCGATTTTGACGGGTCGAGATTTGGAGCCGGATCTAGCGTCTGTGTTAGTGTGGTGTGGGGCATCATGGGCTCAGGCTGGCCTAGAACCTACGCTACGTTATCTCTTTTCCTTCGTCTTCTAGATCTATTGGTAGAGGTGTACGAATGCTGACGGTAGTAGTTAAGGGCTTGGGACCCTTTGGGTACGCCTACTTTTCTCTACGCAAGGGCGAATTTGCCGGCCGTGTCGGTTATCTCACGGCAGTATGAGCACCGAGGGCCGGGGGTGGGGAAAGTGATTTAACCCAGGAAGTGTTGTTGCTTAAGTCTGGCCTGCAAGGTACCATATTTGGTGCCAATGAGACCAAGAGATGTGCGTAAAGAGATAGAGGCATAAACGCCTCCGTTGAGGAGTGTGTACCAAAGACAACCTGCATAAGAGAGACTCCAGAGGACTATGTCGAGGATAGCATAGTCTTCCCTTAGGCCTCATCTTCTGGTTCTGCAGTAAATTAAACGGGGAGAGGGGGGGCAGTTTTGAGCCACCTTGAGCTTGGGAGTTTCTTTGGTTGCCACCATGTGTCGTTGTCTCCGCTCCTGCGCTTCCTCTGCTTTTGGGGGTTTCCCTCCTTCTTCCCCTCGTCCCGTCCCATCTATGGTGTGTGTTGACTTTGTCTTCATTCATTAAGACAGTTACGTCTAGAACTACGGCTATCTCCAACGCCATACACTCGAGCTCATGGATACACCCCGCCTCTCATTATATCTCACTTAGATACACTTTCAACCCAAAGAGATCTCCCATGGAAGAAACAGATCTTTGTTATCTATATATCCCATTATACATATTGGAGCTCGTTAGTAAGACATCAGAGCCACCAACATGTCACAGAAACCAAGGGTTTTGGCCGACAAATCTGACTTTGTTTGCGCTGCATACCCGAGGAGAAGCACCCGAAGCTCAGCGACAGAGACATACCGACTACTGCATCCGTTTTAAGCACACTTTCATTGCTCTACGAGGGATGTATATATCAAGATTGTGGGTAGGACCCAGAGTTACCAAGTTGACTGTGAGAACTGTGTATACCTGTTACCATCACAACCAGGAGAACCCCCCCCACTCCCTGGGGCTAAAGTTGTACTTTTATGATAATAAAAAGAACTCCATAACTTCATCCTTGTAGCTGGTAGGTATTCAGCGTGGTACGTCTATAGAAGTGGCTAGGCTCGTACTAAAGGGTTAGTAATAGCAGTAAGCTCAAACTCTACTGAGGCCTAGTAGATATCTCCAGCCTGTAAAGGGGATCTATTGAGTTACCGACACTGGGAGACATGCGCCTATATTCCGTGCCTTAGGACGACTTGACTTGAGCTATTGAATCTTAGAAGAGGGATAACTATTCGACCTGAAAAGACGTGAGTGACGGCTCCGGCTCCAGGCCCTGATTGCTTGTAAGAGCTCGCCGGTTAATGTGCGCCTTTATAACTCGTTGAAATTTCGTTCTCTTTGTATCTAGGTACAGTACACAAGATTCTGTATTCCCAAGTTGGACCGTTTGTCGGGGAAATTATACAACTTCGATCTTGCTGTGTTGTTTGAAACCACACCTGCTGGTATTACTTTCATGCCGGCGTGACCTGACTTGTGTTATCGCTATTTAATTTGCTTCCCTCTTAACGTCATAAACAAATCACCTCCAGTCACTCATACTGATCCCTTGATGTAGAAAAGGATTTAAAAACTACACCACCGTAAACAAAAACAAGAAGATATTCCCAGGTAAAACCAATACAGAGCATCCTTGAGAGAAACTGCATTTATGTGCCATATAAAGCTTGAAACTTTTCGGAGACTAGAAATGTAGTTGCTCAGGACCAATAGGAGGATTAGATCAGATTATGTATATATTCAGCTTGTCTTTCTCCATCTGATGGTTCGTTCTTGAAAAGGTTTCCTGGAACTTAAACTATGCTGGTTATCATCCGATTGGTGTTCCCAGGTTTTCGCTGGTTCATAAAGACCAGGGGGATCCGGATAGAGGACATTCGCTGGTAGAGCTTGGCACTAAAACTCGCGTTGAATTTACCCATATGTAGTTTCATACCCATTTCCAGTTTGCTGAAGGGATGCGGCTGGTAGCCTGCTGAAAGAATTAATGGAGGTAGTGAACCCTCAGAATTAAAGGAAAGAAGGAAGGCTTAAAGCTACATCTTATAGATTAATTAATTAAGCGTGCGTCCAACAAACAAACTCTCAGCACACTCTCTAGACTATAATTATAAATGAAGGGAATTAATGTAGACTATGATCTATTTATAAGTCTAATATAATCAAGTCATTTTCTAAAGTTAATTACGGGTCCATCGACATTGTTACCAGTAATGTATTTGACCCAGCTAGTACTACAACCAAATTTGTATGCCAATGACCCACTTAATCCCAGTCTGAAAAGGTTAAGGACTTTATATCTAGGCCGTCAGTCGATTCGCTCTTGACGGTGGTAAGTACAACAGGCCGATCCCTATATAAATACATGTAGGTACTACATGTATATAGTTCACGTGCACAACCTCTCCTAAAATTTAAAACTTTACCTGCAGTACTGCGCTGCAACCACTACACCGTGCAAAAATCGCTTATAACCGTTCCCTATCACTCCCCTCGTCACATTCTTTTCTGTCATCATGCATGATTCGATGTAGATATGCAGTCCTACTCGAGAAGGCTCCTACCATGCACTCACTACGCCAAGCTATCTAAGCCACGCAAAGCAACAATTGAAGTCCATATCAATCTGACGGCCTCCCCCCAGTATCCAAAAAATTTTAAACACCCTAAGAACGTTTCTTTTCATCATGGCTGATCCTCTAAGTTTCGTTGCAAGTATACTAGCTATCACTCAGCTAGCAGCAAAACTCACCTGTTTGGGCTATGGATACGTGAGCGCGGTGAAGCGGGCGCCAGACGACCTTATGGACCTTATGAACGAGCTACTCGCACTCAGTAGAGTCCTCTCTATCCTACAGGTTTACGCAGACTCAAGCTCGAATGCAGCAGACAGTGCACTGTATCAGCTCAATGGCGCAAACAATAGTCCATTGCAAGTGTGTTCTCAAGCGCTTGAAAAACTACTGATAAGGATGGAGCCGAAGGATGGGTTCAAAGGCTTTATCAGTAATATGAAATGGCCCTTGGAAGAAAAGGAGACTACACAACATATAGCTCGGATTGAAAGACACAAAACTTTATTCATGTTTGCATTACAGGCAGATCAAATGTGAGCATTTTTCTTGGTAAGGTTACTTCTTTGATCGTTCAGCTAACTCGAGCTACAGATCTCTCTCTAAAGTTATTGAACTCTACACCGAGAATATCGATGCAGCGATGCAAACTATCCAGGCGGATATTAGCTTTATGAATAATATGGTAAAGGAAGTAAAGATGGAAATTGGGCGCACGAATTCCATAGTTCGGAAAACCAACGATAGTGTTCACGATACGAGCATTGCGCTTTCCAATCTGAGAATCAAGTCTATGGAGGAGTTTATGGCACAGGAATTCTGGAGGGAGAAACAATACACCCAAGGCATGGGTAAGAAAATCCATCTGATTAACCCTTCCGAAGCCAGCAGGTAGACATATGTTTACCTCAAGTAATTTCTTACTGAATGAGCTGTATTACTACTATTAAACCTTATCTGGAAGAATTCAGTTGTTATAGATAGAGACTAACATACCTCTCACTACAGTCGATACACGCAATCAGTTTTTCCGTTGGGTATACTCAGGTGACTTCAGTGAAATGCACCTCAGAATCACTGAAGCCAGGCAAAGAAACACAGGGGCTGGCTTATGCGAACACCGAGTTTTCAGAATTTTGTGCATGATAACATACGTACTTCGCTGCTATGGGGATACGGGATTCGTCAGCGCCCCAAATACCCTGTTCTAGAAATATATGCTAATATTTAATAGCGGGAGTTGGAAAAACCTTTCTGAGGTATATATCAAGAATAACTTCCTATCTATTTGGTGTAGTTATTGGGAGACGGTTTCCTTGAATAGTACGTGCACGCATTTTAGTCTTGTCCTAATTCATTGTGTTTTGTCTTCGGTGCACGAAACTAGAATGGTTGGGTCGAGATTAAAATGTCTACGCATTGTCGCTGGGTCTTACCTTTTCTGAGGTGCTGTCATGCTGAGGTGTAGTTGAGCTATAGGATACGCCGTTATGGTTATCGAATATGCCCGCTATTTCTATAATGGAATAGTTTTAGAACTTACGTGGGGATTGTCATTATATGTCAATCTCTAAGTAAAGGCATGCATATTCGATATCCTAAGACGCACCTCATAGGTCAATGAACCCTTAAATACACTATCTCCGAAGAGGTAGTACTTCTGAAAGCAAAACAGTAGCCCACGATCGCAACTTCTTCTATAGTGGACGCCTTCCCGTAAGTTATTAAACGTGTTCTATTGCAATAGAGGATGGTTTTCGAATAGACAAGGTTCCCGTAAGCATACGGTGATTGATATATTTCCTAAAAATCTAATCGATTATAATCGGTGCCTAATACAAATTGGGTATCGTTAAGCCATCTTTTGGGACTATTTTTCGCGCTAGCAAGGTGTTCTCTCTATTGCAACGGATAGAAAATGGATAGAGTATATCTATCGAATAGACCCCCCCCTCCCTAGGGGGGGTCTATAAGAAACACATAGATCCCCCGTTCTATTCGATAGAACAGCAAAATTTGATCTATCCGGCAATAGAACGCCCGCTATTGCTTACGGGAAGGCGTCCAGTAACTGACAATATGCAATTCATGCGCTTTAGCTCCTCTGTAATCGATTACCTACACGATCGTGCAACAACGGCGTCGGAGAAATACGCAGTCGCCTATTTCTACTTCGATTATAAGCAACAGGAAGAGCAGGGACCTACTGCCGTTCTCAGCAGCCTTGTTAAACAGTTAGCCAGTCATGTATTGCCGCTTCCAAAAGAAATCGAAGATATATACCAAAGAAAATTGAACGCCAACAAGAGGTTGAACTTAAAAGAGCTATACTCCGTTCTAACGCTACTCTTCGGTCTGTTTGATCGGATTCGACGCCTTGGACGAATGTCATCCTGAGAGGCAGAGAAAACCTTTACTTCCCTTGTTTCATCGTATGGGAGAAGATGGTGCCAGTGTTTTCTTTACCAGCCGTCAACACCCCGAAGATATCCAAGAATATTTCCACAACATAGAGAAGATAGAGCTTTTGGCAGACGAAGAAGACATTAAGACCTACATCAGTGAAAAAATTGAGGGGACTCCACGGACGAAACGGCTCGTGCAGCAGGGAAAGTGTAAAGAACAAATTCTTTCCGAAGTTACCGCTTGTTCGAAGGGAATGTAAGTGGTACCCCAGATCCTACCACATGCTGCGAGAATAAGTTCCCACCAATTCTTCTCGTGGAAATAATAAAGCCGCAAAATGATGTCGGAAACTTGAAGAATTCATACATTTACTGATTTATTACAGGTTTTTGCTTGTAAAATTCCATACCGAGTATATCTGCCAGCAAATAACAACAAAAAAGATCATCAATGTCTTAGGGAAACTAAAAAGCTCCCCGACAGGGGATAAGCCTTTGGATTCGACCTACGATAGGATCATGGAAAACATAAATCGTCAACTTGAAATATCGGGTTGGCAATCAAAGTACTCTCGTGGATAGTCAAAGCGCAAAGACCTCTTACAGTAGAGGAAATCCAGTGGGCAGTTTCTATCGAGCCAAATCAGTGCGAGCTCGATGAGCTTTACCTTCCAGATCGAGAAACTATTCTCGAGTCCTGTGCAAGCCTAGTAGTTATTGATGAAGCCAGCAATATAATTCGACTGGCTCACTATACAGTTCAAGAGTATTTACTAAGAAAATCGATAATTCCCGAAGACGCAGATCAGAATATTGCGATAGTCTGTACTACCTTACTTTCATTCGATACATTTTCCCAAGGTCCTTGCATATCTAATGAATCTCCCGAAACCCGGCGCGAAAAGTATCCTTCCTTGGATTACGCGGCAGCCTTTCTGTTTTTTCATCTCAAAACCTGTCATGAAACGTTGTCGATAGAATCCTTCCTCAGATTTATAGCCCGTCCACAGAGCATTTATTCCTATATGTTGATAATGGATCCTACCGTAAGATATTGGAGACAATTCAATCATTCTACACTCAAGGAACCTCCTTTGCACGTTACCGCTGCCTTAGGACATGCTCTAGCAGTTAGATTGCTACTAGAAGGTACACATTCGATCTCGATACCAGAAAAGAATGGGTTAATATTCACTCTGGACGCATCCATGAAAGACGAACAGGTCTCCCGACTGCTCCAACGGAAATCTGACATATCGAGTATCGATACTCATCGAAACACAGCTTTACACAAGGCAACTTTCAAAGGAAATAGGGAAATACTTCATTTACTTCTCGAGAAAGGTGCCAACCCTCATCTAAGGAGCAATGATGGGAGAACACCTTTGCAAATAGCAGTACAGGACGGAAATAAGCCGATGGTTAGTTTGCTTCTCACAGGAGGTGCCAATACTTCAACAAGAAGCCGAGGTCCTGATCGATTGACAGTCCTACACGAAGCTGTGTTGAATGGAGACGAGGAAATGGTTGTTTTGCTCCTTGAAGCAGGTGCCGACACTTCAGCACGTTCCAAGTCCGGGTTGACGGTACTACACCTAGCGGTACAAAGAAAGAATATAGCAATAGCCGATTTACTTCTCAGAGCAGGTGTTGAAGTCTCGGCGCGCTCTAAACTTGGGGCGACGGCACTACACCTCGCGGTTCAGCATGGGATTGCGAAGATAGTCGACCTGCTGCTCAAAGCGGGTGCCGACACTTCCGGGACATGCTCAAATATATATACAACGAGAACGATACTGGAAGAAGCAGTAGCACATGGGAACGTAGAAACGATCAGATTGCTTCTTAAATCAGGCGTTGTTCCCCCACCACAGGACTTCGCCGGTGGATGGTTTGGGGTATTAATTAACGCAATAAGAGATTGTGACTTCGAAGTAGTCGATTTGCTCCTCAAAGCGGGAGCCAGAACCTGTTTGAAGGTTGCAGACATAGCTACGATCTTTCTAAACGTTGCGGTATCATTTGGCTCCGAAGAAAAACTTGGGTTGCTTCTCGAAGCCAGTGCTGTTTTCGAAGCAGAACGACCTGGTAATACGGGAGGGTGGGGGGTACTGATTTTATCAATGCTCTATGAAAATGGAAAAATGGCCACCTCCCTTTTCAAAGCAGGAGCCAAGATACTATGGAAGAACCCAAGCATAACAGAGCTAATACTATACGAAGCGCTAGAAAGCAAGTACGTGGAAAGACTTGAATCGTTTTATGGGGCAGATCTCGATATTCCATTACTCCTTGACTCCATTGGAGGGGGAAGCCAGATGCTACATTTTGAATATGGAACGCCGTTCGAGGAAGGAGGAGCTACAGCCATCCATTTACTTCTCGCGAAATACACTGGTGTCCCTGCAAGAAGCGGTTGCAAAAGTAGGGCATTGGATATTATAGTTCAGAATCTCAAGGAAAACAAACATACATTGGCCGATTCTTCCATGCGCACAGGATCCGACTGGGTTGTCGGTATGCTTATAGTTATCGGCCTAAAATCTAACCCAATAAAGAAAATGGAGAAGCTCGAGTGGATAGAGCTCACTTTCCCCACGGGTAGCTTCTCACGGAAACTGCACACTCCCTTCATCCAGGAAAAGCAACAATCCTCGCCAACTACCCGGTGGCATCTTAAAGATCCTCATTCTCTCGGCCTTAGTGTAATATGGGATGAATTAGAAATATTGAGTCTCGGAGGACATTGATACATCTATGTATATACAGACTGCAAATATATTTTCTCATGCACCTCAGTGTTTATTTATGCCTTTAATTATTAGTGCATCTTACGTTGCTGTCTGCAGAGGCTTTTGAAGGATTTCGGGAACTATGTTGGTTAGAAAGCTTAGAGATAGCCAGAGAGAGTAGGCTGACTCTTCTCCTTGGGATCGGTGGAAGGATGAAAAGAACAGGCAAGATACTTTAACGCCCGAACTGGGTTTTTTTTAAGTCTTATTTTAGGCTTAAATAAGCATGATATTTGCCTTTTTTGACAATTTTCTCTTATTGCTTTTTAAAGTCCTTATTAGACTATGGTTTTGCTAAGCCTTAATTTTTTTCAGGCTTATCGAGCTTGATCAGTCTTATTTAAGGTATTTTTGAAAGATAAGGCTGAATAATGTTTATTCGTGAGATCAGCGTGATAGCCTGATAGGTATACTTTTACACTTATTCGCCATAGTGAATATCGGAAATGAAGTTTTTATTAATACTGAATTTAATATGTACATTGATTTAAGACAATCTATTTATCTCAGACTCCTCGCCTACACACCTCCCTACCTGCCTACCCGCCTACCTGCCTATCGACCTAATTTGCCTAACCGGGTGCTCAATTGGGTGCTCGATTTGGTGCTCGATTTGGTGCTCGATTTGGTGCTCTATTTGATGCTCTATTTAGTGCTCGATTTGGTGCTGGATTCAGTGCTTGGTTCGGTGCTGCTGCTGCTAGATTCGCTGATTAGCCTATGTTTTTGATGATTAGGAGATTTGGGGGGGTGGGGGGTGCTAGGAGAGTAGAGGGGACGGAGGTGATAGAGGGGACGGAGGTGATAGAGGGGACGGAGGTGATAGAGGGGACGGAGGTGATAGAGGGGTAGAGGGGCCGAGGGTACGTATTAAAGAACAGATGGAAGAACACGTTTTAATATTTGCTAAGTGCCCAACCCTAACCCAGCTAAACCTGACGAATTTCCATAATGCTTATTTATTTGGTCATCCTAATACTAGTAAAGGTCTTAAAAGAGCCTTATTTGGTGGTAATATTAAGCAAATATCATGCTTTTGCCCAAAAGACGCTTATATTTTATTTTTTTAAATATATGGCTTTTCTACATCTTAGAGCTCGAAATAAGGCTTATAAAAAAACCAGATCGGGCGTTAATGTATGTACTAGGGTGTAGCGAAAAGTGATCAGAATCTGATGACAAATACACGTATTCACCGCAACATTCACTTATCAGATTCTGATCACTTACCCTCAACACCCGGTACATGTACACTTTCATGCATTTAAGGCCAGGTTCGCACTAGTCCCGTACTCATCCCCCCACGAGTAGCTCACTGTTCGGCTCGAGCTAGGGTTTGATCAGGCGACGTAGCTTCGCCTGGCACTTTAGATTTTACTATTATGTATAGAAAAATAGTTGGGTTTGCAACGTTGGCCGTCTGATCCCAAAAGTTAATTTCACTGCTTTAGGTTAATGCCTATCACGAATACCCTTGGGTAATAGAGCTAGTAGAAGCATTTCCTTACACTTGTAGTAACTGTCCTTACGCTTCAATTAGACTTAAACTTGGCCCGGTGAGTGTGGGGAAAGAAATCGAAAAATAGAAGGAAATATTGTGTCGAGTGACAAGCTATGACGGGATCTGAACTACATGTAGTTACTCAACTGTTCTGTCACAATGTTGCTAGCGTCGCGGTCCCGCCGTTGCATATTACTATCGGTTTTGTTGTTTGCTGAATACAAAAGTTTGGATGACAATCAGTTCTTTGGGTCCGTCCCATCAAGACAATTAACGTTTACGGTAGTTCCCTAAGGACAGACTACCACGCTCCAAGTACAGCGGTAGGTAATAAGTGATTGAACGGGCTAAGACACAGTGATACCAGTTTTGGGTAAAACGCCACCAACATACGGTGTTTGCAGGTATAACTGTATCTCAGGGCGTTCCATCACTTATTACCCATCGCTGTACATACACACATATACCTGCTGGTGGCTACCACGGACCATTTCTTGATGTTTTATTTCACTTGAAATATATAGCTACCTCTGCTTCGATTGGGAATCTTTGAGACTATTAATTCCCGACGGAAGACCGGAAGGACTCTATCAAAGTATACGGGTAAGATATTTGGGCAGAGAGGCTGGCCGTTGAGGATATTCGCATTAGAGGCCGGTATTGACACAGGAATTTTTAATTTTGTGGGTTTCAAGATGTACATATGTAGCTGACACCGCCTCCTCCATTAACGTAAATGTATTATGATGGTGGTACTGACTGATAGACGCGGCTCTAGCTCGCGCTACCAGGGCAAATTCTCCTCGCTTTTCTTGTCAAGATGCACCTGCGATCAAATAGGTTTGGCATATCGGTTTGTTGGTTGAGTCAAAGAGATCAAACTTCCATGTTGACCCAAAGCTGGGTTCCTGATATTATTCTCTATCAACTTGTCTTTGATTCAGCCGTAACGTAGAGTACTATCTTGAACTAGAGTGCATCATACCTAATCAGTTTGATACGTCCACTGTGGGTTTTCAGCCCTCCCCCCCGGCTACCATCGGGCACTACACACTCGTCAGCCTCTCTCTGTGTGCGCCTAGAAGCGCAGATCATAGTCTATCACTGCTAGGTGAAGTCCGTAAGCGAGACTCAGAGTAGCCGCTCTTGTGTGTAGATTTTCTTTTTTTCTCTTGATAGCGCTTGTAGAGGAGCTCTGGATGTATGTCTCACGTGAGGTGAGACTTGTGCAACACACTGCCACTGATACTGTACCCCACAATGTTGATCAATCTGTTACTAATAATAGGTCTAGAGTGAGTTAGCAAACATTCCACGGGCAGCTGCTGTGGAGTAGAATAGAGGTTCGGGGAGATGCCTAATCAAGAGTAGAAGGACAGGATTTAATTGCCTACTCTATGTACATGTAGGTACCTACTCTCGAATCGACTCTGGAGTAGGGTAGAGTACGCGTTTGATTCGATCCGGAGGTGCAAGGCCGAGGGTCGTGAGCACTCTACTCTACTCAAAGACTCTGCAGGGTACGCAGGGTCCAAATCCAGCGTCACGTTGTCGTTGAAGATCGTTGATTCGCGAGTGCAGCTCGAATGGAAATCCCATCTCATGACCCCTTTCGTTTAAAGTCATCTGAGGCTCTAAAAGAAGAGGGGGGTTTTTTTTTGGCTACTTAAACCGTCGTGGACATCACAATAAAGGTGTCCAGTAGACAAAGAAGAAGGCATCCGGTTGACCGTTTGCATCGTCGGTTTTATTACACTTCATTTCCTTTCCCCCCTCATACATTGGCGCCCCACGTTTCACCCCTGTTGCTACGCCCCCGACTGCACTGTATCTCCCCCTGAAAACCTGTTTCCGAACAACACACACCTCCGCCGACAGCAGACTCGTAGTACAAGAACCAAGGACCTTCTCCGATCCTTCTCTCGATCTTCTATTCTCTCCTTCGATCAGACCACACACCCACGTAAACCTACCTACACACGCTCCTTACTCAAGCTTGTTTTTCAGTTCGAATTCACTCACTCACCCTCCACCAATTAGACAGATTTCTTTACAAATAAGCCAGCACACCCACAAACAATTGTTATAAAGATGTCAGCAATCCGCTCTTCCGTCACAGGTCTTTCCCGCACCTTCAAGCTCAACAGCTTACCTGCCCTCCGAGTTTCTCGACTCCACACAATCCCCTCGGCCGCCGCACCCCGCTCACCAACACTCCCGACCTCGCGCATCAGCCCAGGCTCATTTCGCCAGGGGCTCACGCACAGCAAGTTCGGTAGCAGCCAAGGACAGTGCAGACTCTACGCCGCAGGCCCTAAGAACCTCGGCGAGACCGGAGGCAGCAAGAATCCGTTCCCGGTTGTGCCCTTGGTATTGATCTTTACAGCCGGAAGTGGTGGGTTTTATTTGTTGGTAAACAGCCGAAAGGGTATGCTTTTTTTCTTTCTTAGTAGTCCTCGGGGGTGCTTGGGGTGCTTTGGGATGAAAAGCACTGGATGAGTAGGCCAAAGCTGACATTCCCGTCAACAGAAACAATGCCCACCACCGAGAAGACTCTTCCCCGCAGCCCTAAGAAGCCTAAGACTACGCCCACTTTCTCCCCTAAGGATGTCTCCGTAATCTTTGTCCTTGGTGGCCCTGGTGCCGGAAAGGGTACACAATGCCAGAACCTAGTCCGTGACTACGGTTTCGTGCACCTCTCTGCCGGCGATCTTCTTCGCGCCGAACAGAACCGCGCTGGCAGCGAGTTTGGCGAACTCATCAAGACATACATCCGTGAAGGTCGTATTGTGCCCATGGAGGTCACTGTTGCTCTGCTTGAGAATGCCATGAAGGAGTCTATTGCAAATGGACAGACCAGGTTTCTGATTGATGGTTTCCCGAGAGAGATGGACCAGGCCATTAAATTCGAGACTGAAGTGTGCCCAAGCGTATTTACCCTCTTCTTCGACTGCCCTGAGGAGGTCATGTTGAAGAGGTTGCTGAAGCGTGGTGAGACGAGTGGACGGGAGGACGATAACATTGAGAGCATCAAGAAGCGTTTCAGAACATTTGTGAACACTAGCATGCCGGTGGTGGATATGTATGAGAAGGAGGGCAAGGTTGTGAGGGTGGACTGCACCCAGGGAGTGGAGGAGGTCTACAGTGCGGTCAAGAAGGAGGTCTCGGTATGATTCCCAAGACTTGTGTGAAACGTGCCATGATACTAACTAGATGTGCCTCATAGTCCAAGTTCAAGCCAATGAAGGAGAAAGCGGTAATGACCGCATGAATACATGGCCTGGCTATTGCATCATACGATTTCGTGATTCCGTGTTCTCTACCGTCTCCGTCGTCTCTGGCTCGATGATGGGTCATTCCTACCATTGGTTGGCCCTTTTCCCTTCTCTTTTCTGTATGCATTTTAGACTTTAGTACATTGTTTAGCGGTATTCCTGGGTTTTCTTTTTATTTATCGGTTGTAGTGATTCGTAGACTACCTGTTTGGGAGAAAGGGTGGGAATAAATCTTTTAGAGTGGTTCTTGCATGTGTGGTTCATATATTATTATTTCTACTGCGGTTGGTGCAAATAGTAATATTTTACCTGGAGATGGGATGAATTAGTTTTGAGCATGGATGATCACTCGCCTTTCATTGGAATGGTTCCACACGTTGTGCTGAGCACATAATCGAGAAGACGGCATGTGTCGCTTCGCTTTCGCGTTAAACAGCCATGATAAACAATTCCTCCTGTATTCAAACTTGCCATATTCCTACACAATTTAGAGCTCCGCTCCCTTCGAGATATACCTCTTGATAGTCGGCATCTATTACATATATCCCACACAGGTCTGGGACGTCAGTTCATAGTCTATCTGACGCCTTCATAATGCTCTAAGTAAGCGGTAATTGGTGCCCGAATGGATTGCAGGTATTCAACCTCACTTCGCCACTCAATCTACCCTTACCTAGCCAGCGAATAGCACATATGACCTCCGAGGAATGCCGACCCGGCCCTCTGGATGTGAATTAATTGCCCTCGAGTGCTCTCTAGAGTAATCTTTCGCCCTAAACTGGGACAAGGGACACCTCGCTTATGCCCGCACCCCCCTGCCCAGAGAAAAAAAGCTTAGTCCAACCTCATGCTCATGTCATGTTTGTTGGCAAGCACGCACGGATACGTGGTTGCGTTACGCGGTAGAGAGCTGGAAGGTAAGGGGGGTTGGAATAAATACGCACCCCGTCCCCATCCCCGTCCCCGTCTCCGGCCTCTAGGCTTTTGAACGTATCACCGTTATCCCCTTTGTAACCCGACTTCTTTCAATTGGGCACCGTCGACTTCCTGCTTTAATTAGAGCGCTATTTATCGCTTTCTTGCAATCACATTAGGAGGTTGTGAAATTCCGCGGGTGCAGACGAAGGATGGTTTCCGATTACGAGCTCGCCATGTAAACAAACCTCCCCTCACCAATATTTTCCACGTCTGAACTAACATTACATTATCAATCATCAGTGAGCGTAATAAAGCAGCCAATCGAGCATTGCTGGCATCTTTGGGCATTGAAAAGCCACTTTTTCAGGCTCCCGCTCCTGTTAAAAAGCGCAAGAAGCCCTCTGTCGTTGTCGAGCCCTCTCGCAAGTCAGCACGTATTTCTGAGGACAAAAAGTCCCCAGATTACGGCTACGTCGAACTTCCAGAAAGCGACAGCGAGGATGGAGGCGCTAAGACCCGTCGTAGCAAGCGTGCCAGGACCAAAAAGACTGAAAAAATGGACTCTACCAGCACCGACGCGGATGCTCTAATCCCCACATACGTTAATGAGCGCAACGCCCACAGACTCAACCCAAAACGCTTCCGTCCTGACCCAAAGCAGCATGGCCAAATCCCTGGAATCGAGGTCGGTCACTGGTGGGAAACCCGTATGCAATGTAGTGCTGATGGTGTCCATGCTGTAAGATCCCTACCCACTCTCTGTGGTTCTCTACTGATATCCTCCCAGCCCCCAGTCTCCGGGATTAGTGGTTCTGGAAATGGGTCAGCATACTCTATCGCCCTCTCTGGGGGTTACGAAGATGATGTTGATGAAGGCTTCCGCTTTACCTTTACTGGCTCTGGTGGTCGTGACCTATCTGGCACTGCAAAGAACCCTAAGAACTTGCGTACGGCCCCACAGAGCTCTGATCAGCAGCTTGTTGGTGGTAATTTGGCATTGAGCAATTCTTGCGAGAGCGGTCTTCCTGTTAGGGTCATCAGAGGGTACAAGGCTACCTTGGGGCCACCGGAAGGCTATAGGTACGACGGCTTATATAAAGTTGTCAAGGCATGGTGCGATGTTGGAATGAGCGGTTACAAGGTCTGGAGGTTTGCCTTCATGAGAATTGACGGCCAGGAGCCTGTCGACTATAAAGGTGAGTTTTTATATCATCCCTTAAACTATCACGACCAATCGAAATGGCAACTGCTAGTCATATGTAGAGGTTGCGCTCTGTTGAACACTGTCAACGGCCATTCTCTCTCAGTGCTGTTAATACTTATCAGACGCTGAGAGAGTCATGCCAAAATATTCATTCGTAGTATTCAAACTATCATACCTTCCACATGTAGGGCTAGCAATTGATATTTAAATTCGGTGTGACGGTTCAGGGGATAGAACTGCTAAGTTGAATTTGTCAGTATGTTGACTGGTGTGTAGCTGGTAGACCTGAGGATAGGGAGCAAGATGAGCTTGAGGAGGCGGACGAAGACGACTCGGAAAATTCAGCGGACCCCACAACGCAAGAAACTACCCCTGAAGCTACGAGTGAGAAGGATGGAGAGGTTGCTGTCAAGAAAGACATAAAAGCTGAAGCTGCTGTCAAGAAGGACACGGAAGTTGCTGCCAATAAGGACACAGAACTTGCTGTCAAGAAAGACACCGCGGCTGCTGACAAGGACACTGCAGCTGTCGTCAAAAAGGAAACTTCAATGGTTGTCAAGAAGAAGACTACAACAACCGTCAAGAAGGAAACTGCAACAGTTGTCAAGAAAGACGCCAAAGCTGTCGCCAAGAAGGTGATTGTAGCCGTCGCCAAGGACACCGAGCCTGCCGCAGCTGTCGACAACAGAAGAAGAAGCGGAAGGAATAAGAACTAGTGTTCTTACTCCATGAGTAATTTAATAAGTCGGATGAGAGTGTTTGTATTTTGTCTCTTATACCCGGCCAGGTGTATCGCTTGTAGCTTCTGTGTGTCATTGATAGAGTTGCGCTCGCAAATGCTATTTGATAAACAATTACCGCAAGACAGTTTGCCTTCCAACCGCGATGGATGGGATACGCCTAACAGACTCTTAAGGTCTTGCTTTGCATGAGCGCACACAGCTGGCTGATGGGTGTTTGGAAAGGTCAGGGTTTTGACCCTCGTGGGCTCGGGGTGCAGCGGTAGTCTGGCGACAGGTGCCATACATGCATATCTTGTTACCGCGCCGCAACACATCTTATTATCAACAATACAATGAAAGTAAGAAATCTGTAGAGGCCTCAATAGTAAGCACAAGACATAGGCTCAACCAGGAGTACTACACCATCGAGTGATATCCCATGCTCCAAGACCCACCATATAAACTCAACCACATTATTACCGTAATCTCACAACCTCTTCCCAACCCTACTCCCGACATCCTTTCCCCCAAAGCTCCACCACACCAAACTTGCCCATTCCCGCCCCATATTCCACCGAGTGACACCCCATGAAGTCATGCTTACTAATCACGCACCCATCCAACCCAACCCAACCCTAGCAGCTCCTACCCAACGTCATCTAAAACACCTTTCTCAAGACCTCTTCTGCCACAATATAACACACAACACAAATGTCGCAGCCCCGAACACGACCAATTCAGAAGCTCGCCACGGCAGTCGGAAAATGCACCACCGAGGTATACATACTACCTTATACACAACTACAATGCTCTGTGACTGACGGTGCGGTGGCGGGACAAAAAGGCGGCGGCGTACGGGAAGTGTGTGATCGAGGACTATAATGATGTGCATAGGGATAAGTGTGCAAAGGCGTTTATGGCGCTGAAGGATTGTGTACTTGCGGCTTCGGTAAGTACTTTTGTTATTTGGGACGGGTTGGGGTTGGGGTTGTTGCGGTTAGAGTTGCGGTTTAGGTTTGGGTTGCAGTTTGGGTTGGTTGCGGGTTATTTGGGAGAGATAGCTAACACTGGGGTAGAAGAAGAAGTAGGTAGGCTTGAAAATGGAGGTAATGGGAAGGTATATTTGTAGAAGCTTTTGAGAGTTCAATTGCTGGTGGGTGTATATATAGGTAACTAAAAAAATCACCCATATCGACAATTGCAAGTCCTTATAATTATATGGTCTCGGATTCAGTTACAAGAAACGGCCAGTGCAATGACCGGGATACATAGAAAGATTTGTACCATGGTGCTTGGCTATACGGGTAGACTGTTGGTACTAATCTTACTGTTTACGGGGAGGAGCTTTCGAAGTAGCATGGGGTTCTCTCCGAGTTACTCTCGTTCTTCAGCAAGCGAGTTCACCGCCTATCGAGTGTGAGGCCCTTTCCCACCTCAAAAGTGGCATCTAGAGCTGCAGCAAAGATATATTTGTGTGAGAATTGGGCGCTGCGCTCTGTAGGTGGTGAACTCTCTGGGTAGGGAATGAGAGTACTAGCAAAATAAGAGATGATAGTTGTGGTCTTATGGTAATGGGCGAGGTAAATATTAATGCCTATTATCAAATCTAACAAAACAAGCAGCAAAACATCTCTAACCCTCAGCTTGCAATTGGGAGACTCAGCCACAAGTTGAGTGATAACAAACGCGGGATGGCCATGGCTCAACCCCAACTCTGGCGTTTGCACTCATTTCATAACTACACGTATTATTACTTACCCCCCTGCCCAGTGCCCACGACAGAACAATCTGCCAGCGCTGCACATATTCGGGCAATTCAGAAGGTCACAAACTGTCGTTGCCCTATTTTCTCCGCAGGACCGTGAAAATTGAGCTCAGCCTAGGCTTACATACCAAGAATAAGGCCCTCCTCACTGGTTGATCCTCTTTCGACGACCCGCCCGATCGACTGCTCACAGCAAGCGCACCAAACGACCTATTTACAACCTCTCTCTCTACCGCCAGTATCACTACTGCAGTCAAATTCACCATCTCCCTTCTCTCGCCAGCAGGCACTGCGGCAGTCAATTCAGCTTCAACCACCCTCGCCATGATCGGGCACAAAAGGCCTCCTTCCCTCTTCCCCACGACCAACAAAGCTACCTCCACAATTAAAACCTGACCGGGAAAGTTTTCCCCGGGCAACGTGGGGTAGTGGGGTACTTATGCCGCGCCCAACACCAATGCCAACCGAAGGACATCAGACCCGGACCCTCAAGCCGTCCGCCCAGGCTGCCAATCCTGTCTGTGCGTTACCTGTCTGCCAGCCAAGGAGGGGTTCGTCCCGAGGATTTGGGTTTGACGGCTTTGTCAATTGGCCCAAGCTTTTTCTGACACGACGATAAGCTCTTGAAGCTTCCAAGACTGGATGTGCAGACGGTTTTTGAAATTATTTTTCCTCTCACCAGCTAGCTTTCTACCGTGTTGGCTGGCTGTTAGGTTGTAAATTGATCACGTTTACCCCTCGTATTGATTGCCACTGAGCTCTATGTAGCTTGAGCCAAGTGCTCCAGTTATTCTCAGAGCTCCAGCTGTCCCTGTGTAGTCTAAAATGCGCTGAATTGAACGGACTAATCATTCAAGGGCCACAAACGCTGTTCTGATGACAAAGTTCACAACCCAACCCCAAATCCCAAAGCAAGCAACACCAGCCCGCCTTAACATAATCCTACCACGCAAGCCAGCCTAATCTAACAACCCTAACATACCAAACCCAACAAGACTAACCCCAAACCCAAACCCAAACCCAAACCCAAACCCACCCCAAAGCTCAGGCCACCACCCACCGCATCCGCCCTAGCGCCCCACAAAGCGGTCCCAACTGAGACACCCCTCTCCCCCACCATCCTTTCTTTCCCTCGCCTTCCACTACCCCGCCATCCCCTACGTCATACCTACCGCGCAATCACAGCATATCACTCGGCCACCAACATGCACCCCCAAAAAAAAGCACCGGGGTCCGTGCGCGTGTTTGAGCCCTACAGTCACTCACGGGGTGAAGGCGGATCCTGTCTGATGGCGGTCAGGGATTTGAGGCCAATAACAGAGTTAACTTTGGGACGCCAAGGGGAAATTACTGCAAACACAACCATCAGACAGGATCCGCCGTCACTAGGTGAGCGACTGTACAAGAGGCCACCCGCCGCCCCAACCTTTGCGCGCAGTGTTGCCGTGGGCTGGGGACAAACTAGATGTATGAACCCCCCCCCTTGGCTTTCACTTCCAACCACCTCGACCGGCCGGCCGCCACATCACATCTCTGCAGAGTGCAGTGAGATGTGGGTGCCTATTTGGGGATTCAGCCTCCCAGCGTACGGCCTCGCTCTCCCTTCCGTGTTGCCTGCATTATTGGTTGTTCCCTGCGCTTCCTTGCCAGTCTGGGCTCAGGCAAGTCAAGGGGGAGGGAGTGCATATGTAGCAATCTGCAGTTAGTTCTACTCATGCGAGAAGTGGAAGAAGCTCGATAGACAGGATTCTCGAAAACCATGAACGTAGATATTACTTAGTAAAATGGGGGGGGGGGTTCCTGTATAGTGTATAGTGGGCTATCTCATCAGTTGTACGTACAAGATGGATGGAATCATTAACGTGGTTGGGTTTTTGGTATACGGCTCGTGGTACACAAACATCAGACGACATGAAAATATCAAAGGCAAATAAAAACGGACGATGATGCAGTTGGAGGAGGAGGGGCAAACTTCGGCCAAATTTGGCGGCCAGAGGAGTTTGTAATATATCACACATGGGCGCACACGATCAGGTATTAGAACCGGTGGCCCTGATAAATAATGTGGAGGAGATAGATATGAAACAAAAAGAAAAAAGCAGATGAGGCCTATGAAAAACTGCCCGGGAAAGTAGCCCCAAACCCAGAATCTAACAGACTATTAGTACCAGTGAGACTTAAAACCGCGCCTCACCCGAAACCAGTCTTGCTCGACGCAATTGCCCAATCGACAATCAGAGACTATCATACCCTTTTTACCCTCCCAAACAAATACAACTCGTTCAACGCGCCTACCAGAGAAATTGAATAGGGACAAGGAATAAAAAGACAAAAACGACCAAAACAACCTTGAATAAACCCTGGCGCGAACGATCACACCGAATCGAAAGAAAGAAAGAAAAAAATAGAAAAAGTGTAAAAAAAAAACCACAGAATGATACAACACCTAAGAAATACAAAGGAGACAACACGTACACAAACAGAGCAACAGAAACACCGAAGAAAAAGCCTATCAACGGTACATTTGTTTCCCATCTGCTAACTTAACACCTTAACCGTAAGTTTTTTTCCCACGACGATAATATGACGTATTGAACAATTCCGCCATCAGCCCATCCTTAACCATCAAATCAAAATAAACGGCTTCCTTTTCTCGTATCATTCGTTATTACTCCCCCACCCATTTCCATGCGACGTATATGATTTCCAAGGTTCGCCTCTGGCAAGGGGTATATCAAGGCCCGTTCTGGAAAAAAAAAATGAAGGTCGGTCGTCGCCAGCCGATTAAAATATGTAAAAGAGTGAATTGAATTTATGATGCATGGTAGGAATGGGATTGTAAAAAATGGAGATGTTGATTGATCACCGGGACTCTTCCTCAGACTCAACAGGCTCCGGAGCAGAGACATCAATACCGTGAGCCTTCGCATTCTTCTTGGCCCACTGGCGAGCATGCATGGAAGCTGGAGAGAGAAGTTAGTTTGAGAACATCAAGAAGTGTGATGGATGTAACTTACCCTTCATGAATTTCTTACTGGCATACTTCTTGAAGAACGCCTCATGCTTGACGGGGCGAGCAAGATAATCAATCATAAGGTGGAAGACAGGCATGATCTGATCCTCAGTGTAATCAGAGTAGTGAATCAAATCGGCATCCTAATTGGTAACATATGTTAGCATTGATTATAATAATAAGAGCGTAAGAGTAAGAAGACATACCCAAGGTCCACGCTCAAGCATCATCCTGGACAAGTACATAGCAGCAGCTGCGACGTGACTTGGCAAGAATTCCATGAACCTATGGTCCAACAAGCTAATCTCCATAAGGTACTTGGCGACAGTCCTGGTCTGGAAGTCGTACTGGTCTGCCTTGGAGATACGTCTCAGGAAATTCATAGGATTAGGATAAGAGAGGTTGTAATCAAGAGTTGAAAGAACAAAACGTTCAGCGCGCAAGATCTCCTCTTCAGTGAATCCGTCATCGGCAACGTGACGGAAGTACTGAACGTGAGGGGAGAAAACCTCCTCGTACTTAGCGGCAATGAACATAGCGGTGACACCAACCAACTGGAGCTTGTCCAACTTAACAACCTTGCTGCTCAAGAAACGATCGACAATGTTGACAGCAAGAAACAAGGTTTCAGGCAAAAGGCGGAAGCGAGTATGAACCTCAATGAGCCAATCAATAAGAATTCCACGCATTTTCCACTTAAGCTCATCTTGATGGTCCATGTAATCAGGGTTTGGCTGAGTGGCTGGCTCAATTTCACGAAGATAGTCAAAAATTTCACTAACATACTCAGAAACCATCAATGGATCATCAGCATCCTCATCGTCGAGATCATTGTGAGGAGGACGAGGAGCAGGCTCCTTGGTGCGGATCTTCTTAGAGGCATGAACAACTGGCTCGGCCTCCTTGGCATCAACCTTAACTTTAAGCTCAACAGCGGCAACGGCCTTGACGGTGGTGGCAGCTGCAGCGGTGGTGGTGGTTGTAACCGAAGACGCGTCTTTTTCCTCAACAACGACTTCCTTCTTGGCCTTAGCAGCAGCGGCAGCAGCGGTGGTGGTCCTCTTCCTGCTCTTCGCCATAACCCCAGATCCATTGTTTGTTCTCTTAACCTCTTCCTCCTTCCCAGTATTCTTGATTGGTGCAGCTTTGGCGGTACGTGTAGTTTTGGTGACCCCATTGGTAGCCGCAGCCTTAGTTGTCAGGGCAATCTTGCCAGAAATTTTCTTTCCTCCAACCTTCTTGCTCTCCTCAACTGCTCCACCATCAGCCTTCACGACGTTACTGACATCTCCCAAGGCGGCACGCTTTCGGTTGTTTTGGGCGGCAGTTGTGGTGGTTGTGGACAACTTCGAGGTAGTCAACTTGGTGGAGGCAGCATCTGTAGAAAGGGCGGCGGCCTTAGCCCGGGTTAGACGGGTTGTTGTAGTAGCCTTGTTCTCATCATTGGCCTCGATGTTGCTCGCTGAGCGAACGCGGGCGGCTCGACGCTAAAGAACAAGTATTAAAGTTAGCAACGCGGCTGAAAAAAAAACGGTAAAGTAAAAAAAAATAAAAAATTGCAAAGTAAAAAAAATTCGCGTTTTCTCGCGTTCATGGGATTGAAAAAAATTGTGGGGGAATAAAGTTTACTCACCATATTATGTTTGGTTGGTGGTGGTGGTGTTGAATAAAAAAAAACCCGATATGAACCGGGTTTAAAAGGTGGCGATGAAAAGGGGTATCGTTAAAAAAAGTTTCGACTTGGCGATGTTTCTGCTTAGTTCCGAATGCACGGTATTTAGCGGGTACCTAATGCCAAATACGTCAGTGAATATTCATCAGATGCGTTATCGATGACAAGAGGTTTGGGGACGCCGTAAAAAAAACGTGCAGACAACCGATTGGACAAGCAGACTGGACTGCCAGCAGCAGGGGGAAATACTAACCGACCTGTCGAATGATTGTTGCTGGAAGGGCGTGTCTTGACAAGCCTCGAGTTATAACGCAGACTGTGTGGACTCGGGATGAGAAAAACCCCAGGACGAAAACACGAGAAACGTGCTAAGCAAAAGGGAACGAGACGTGATTAAACGTGCTAAAGCAATCACGAAAGGAGAGGCGTGAAGAATGGATGGGGAGAGATGGAAGAAGGTTGGGTGTCGGAGAGAAGAAGGGAAAGGAAGGAGGAAGAGGATGGGTAGAAGAAGGGTGTGTATGTGTTGTGTTTGTGTGTTGTTGTGAGAACGGGGGGGTGGAGAGGAGGGATGGGATGGGAGAGTCGGCTGTAGGAAGAGGTTTAGCACCTAAGGCATGCTGGTTTTGGTTTTTTTTGCGTGCCAACTTGCCAAGGGATAACCTTTTTGTTGAAACAGTAAGGACTAAAGGAACACCCCGACCGCCCGCAGCTCGCAAGCCCCTCCGCCTGAGTAGCTAGACATTGAGCGGAACAGTAGCAGCGGAAATAAATTTATTTGCCTTCTCAAACACCCGCACAATTGAACCCCCGAGAAACTATCGGTTCTCTACAGTAATCATCACTCCCTCAATGGCTCAAATAACGTCCTTAAACACGTTCATGTCACGTACACCTGACACCGCTCTTCCTGTAAACAGGATAAGCGCGTGGGGTTGGTTTCCACAGCAACACACGACCGCGAAGAAGAACGGTCACCGGTGGTAAATATTATTATGGCAGCCTTGATGTCCGGCCGGCTCAGCCGCCCTCTCCCTCCTCCAGATAGCCCACCCAGTAGACTGTAGATTCTGGGGGCAAAAACAAAAGACAGAAACATGTCTCCCGGCAGAAGACGTCACTTACCATCCAATCGGTAATGTGCTGTCGCGAAAGTTTCGCCATCAGTGCCCATCTCTCGTTCTGGCTGGCGTCCCCCCCCCCCCCCCCCCATCTCGTCCGATTCCCGATTTGGGTCCCCGCAAATAAACAACGAGCAAGCATTGACCCTCCACTCTAGAGTACAACCCCCAGGCATAACGAGGGTTGGATGGTTCTGTCAAGTGTGAATAGGCAAAAAGAAAAAAAAAAAGTACATAGATGATCGCATTCAAGGTTGAGAGGTATCAAACTAACCTGATACATGATGGGGAGGGAGGTTGGACATTCAGAATTTCCCCTCACCTTCACCCCTCTCTTGAGGTTTCCTTTCTACCTGCAGTGCAGTTGCAGCTTGGAGGTACCTAGCCTCCGAGATGCTACTGACTGGAAGGACTCATCAATCGACATGACTCTATCGAACCCTTCCTGGAAAGCTCAGCCGCAGCAGGACGTGTATGTATGTATGCTCAGAAAAAACCACGGAATCGAAACAGCATTTGTTCATAAGCTGTGAACGAATGTCGAGACGGTCTTTTAAATGCCCCGGCCATCCATTGGTTCTATATAACCAAACAAACAGTGGCCGGTGGGATCACAGGTCAATTACTCGTTGTTCGAGCTTCCCAACCACCTATTACTGATTGGGCCATTGGGGGGAGGGTGTTTAGAGCTCCAGGTATTAATACGATTGGGGATTAACGGTTTCCATCAACAGCTCATGGGAAGCTTAATATAATGCACATCTCCGCCCACGGTACCGGAACACCTCTTTTTTTTTTTGTTTCCTGTCCCACGCAAACGCTCTGACTCTTTTTTTTTTTTTTTTTTGTTTCTCTGCTGTTCTCCCATCGATTCCCCAAAACCCATTCTTGTTGGACTGACTGACCTCATATTTCTCGATGGGCAACGTCACAGCACACCTACGTGCTCCATAACAGGCAGGTAACGCTGCATACATGCCCTCAAGGAAAGATAAAATTGCTCAGCACTCTACACTTCCTACCTAACAGTAAGCTTGGTGGAATCCGGTCTAGCTCCCGAACCCTAGATTACTCTAGACCGGCCAATCCATCGAGAGGAACATTTGCAATTGGGCTGCTGGCACAAATCGGGAGGAGTCCGGATCGTGGGAATCATTCCAGCTAGGAGAAATAGAAAGGAATTCCTCGAGTGAAATTAGGTTTTTTTCCATGAGGAATGACCGTCTCTGGGGAAAAAGGCATAAGGAATCCATCATGCTCCCCCGCAACGTAGGCCCGGGCTCATGTCTAGAGCTAAAGAGAAGATGAAACCAACGCGTCAAAATAGGAAATCAGGTCGGAAATAGCCATACTCAATTTTATTTTTATGCAATGAGGGGGCGGGGTAATAACGCCTCAGGCTTTCTTTTCTATCGTTTTCTTATCACTCGGAGATTTCAGAAGGGTCAAAACGCGAGCTCAAGGCGTCCGTGGCATGTTCGTTTTCCATACATACATACATGTTACCCTAAACAGAAACAGATTGTTAGAGAGCGTACAACTGCCTGAGTATGTACAGTACATATTCTTAATAAACAAACAAACAAAAGCGCTGTCCGTGTGTGCTGGATCTAGCAAGCAGTCAATAATATCTGGAAGCACTCACTCTTTAACCAGGTTACTGGCAAATCGGGCCCCCACCCACCCTCCCTCCCTGTACCACTTGATCTGTGTCTGTAGTGTGTTTATGCGGCCATGCCGCCATTGGTCCGCACTCCGCAGCACACCTGGAGTTAGAGTATTGAGAGACTTGGCGCCAAGGGGATGGATGGACGGATGGCATGGGAGAGCAACCTGCCTGAGGTTTCACGAAATGGAAATTTCGTTTCTGACTGGACGTTGCACTCCATTGCAAGACTGACTTCAACAGTGGAATCCTCACGAGCGCTCGCACTCTGGGCTTCACGCGGATATTGGATACGGATCTACTACTACATATGACCGCATCAGCATGCGTCTCTATATCCTCTCAATTGCCATAATCACCTCGAGCTCGCCCCCACCGATCTAGGCAACGCAACTTCATCTCAAGATTTCTAACCTCTTTAGATCTCCAACTAAACCTCCAACCAAACCCTCCGCCAACATATCTGAAATTCTACAAAAACATTATCCACACAACCTATTAACACAGCTAGTCAACATCCCACCCCACCTCACTCGCCATGTCCACCCCGACAACCACCACGCCCCCCCTCCACGTCCACCTCGACGCCCTCACCCTCGAGCGCGAACAGCGCCCCTACCGCGCCACCACCTCCGTCTACCACCGCACCCCGCGCTCCTACCGCTCCACGCACTCCGGCCTGCACTCCTCGCAAGCGCGCACGCCCACCACGCACTCCCCGCGCGCCTCCGTCTCCACCCTGCAGCTCCAGCACCTGCTCGAGAAGCTCGAAATGGACCAATACAACACCTACGGCGTCGAGGAGCTGCGCGACGGCTTCTTCGACGCCTCCTTCTACCGCCCCATCAAGCAGCAGCAGGACGCCGACGACCCGCCATGCCCGTCGTCGCTCTCCGCCCACCGCACAACAGCGGCCCAGTGGGTGCGGTCCCAGATTGCAGACGCAAAGGACGCTGCGAAGCTAGTCTTCACGACGCGCAAGGGCGTGGCGCTGGGGAAGAGCTTCCTGGCCTACTTTGCGGCGTATGTCTTATGTCTCGTGCCCACGACCCGGGCCTGGCTGGGGCCCTACAGCTACTGGATCCTCATCGCGGCACTCTTCAACCACCCCGGGCGTACCCTCGGCGCACAGATCGAGGGGACCGTGTCCTGCGCCGTCGGCGGCGCCCTCGGGCTCGCTGTCGGTGCACTGGCGCTCGAGGTCGCGGCGTCGAGCGAGGCGGGGTACGGCGGCGTGCTGACCGTGTTCATCGCCGTGTTCATCGGCGTCGCCAGCTGGATCCGGTGCTCGCTGGTGCGCGTGTACCAGGCGATGATGAGCGCGGGGCTGGCGTTCTTCTTCTTGGTGCTGGTGGACGTGCGCACGGTTGCGGCGCGCGGGGCGTGGGACCGCGGGAGGGTGGGGGAGTGGGGCGTGCCGTGGGCCGTCGGGCTGGCGCTGTGTGCGGTTGTGAATGTGGTGGTTGCGCCGGAGGCGGGCGGGAAGGCTGTTGCGTATGTTTTTCTATATCTTCTCTCCATGTACATCTACAATCTACTACTTTGCTTTCCTGTGCTGATGATGGTGATGTTTTGCGTGCTAGAACCGCACTGCACAAAGCGCTGCTCTCGGCGCTGGACGGGCTCGTGCTGCAGCGCGCATACTCGCCCGCCACGCACCGCCACATGTCGCTGCAGCTCGTCAACCTCTCGGAGGCCGTGCGCGACATGCGCAGCGAGCTCATCCTGTCGCCGCTCGCGCCGGCCGACGCCCTGCAGCTGCGGAACCTGCTGCAGGCCGTGATCCGCGACATCATGGCCATCAAGCCCGACGCCAGCCTCTTCGACACGCCCGCCCCCGCGCCCGCTAAGACGCCAGACCAGGAAGACGACGCGGTGATCATTGACCTTTCCCCTACCACCGCCGCCGGCGCAGCTGCTGCAGCCACCGCCGACAACGACAACGACAACGACAACGACAACGACAACGACTCGCTCGCCTCCTCGACCGCCGCCCACCTCACGCTGGTCCGCAGCATCATGGCAGCGCCCACGCAAGCGCTCCTCGCCGCCTCCGCCTCCGTCCTCAAAAGCTGCGACAGCACGCTCATGACACTCCTGCACCACCGCGAGCTCCTCCGCCACCCCACCACCACCACCACCACCCACACCCTCACAACCACGCACACAGCCTTCACCGCCGCCCTGCGCGCATTCGACGCCGCCGACACGCGCCTGATGGAGCACCCGGACCTGCCCAGCTCCTACGCGGCGCACCCGGACCTCGTGAGCCTCTTCCTGTTCATCCACCCCGTGCGCCAGGCCGCCGAGTCCATCCTCCCGCTTGTCACCAAGGTGCTGGCCCTCGAGCGCGGCTGCAACCGCAAGCGCGTCTATCTCCCCGACTACCCGCTCGCGCAGGCGCTCTACCGCGCGTCGCCGCAGGTGCGCCATGACCGCGGGGGGCTGACGGCGGGGTACTACTTTAAGAGTAAGCAGCGCATCGACGAGGCCATGGCGCGGTACCACTCGCTGCCGTTTACGCCGAGCCCGGATATCCTCTCGAAGACCACCGACTCCGACTCCGACCCCGACCCCGACCCCACGACCACGACCACGACCACGACGCACCCGGGCACCACGGCGGAGCACGAGACGACGCGCTTCAAGGCGTGGCGGGTGGTTCATCGGCTGCAGCAGTTTGAGAGCCGCTTCGCGGTGAAGGTGGTGCTGGTGACGGGGCTGCTGAGCGTGCCGGCGTGGGCGGCCGCGAGTAGGGGCTGGTATGTGGCCAACGAGAGCTGGTGGAGCGTGGTGGCCGCGTGGTTCATGATGCACCCGCGCGTCGGCGGGAGCGCGCGGGATCTGGTGGCGAGGAGCGTGGCGGCGGCGGTGGGCGCGGTGTGTGGTGGGGTGGCGGTGGGGGCGGGCGGGGGGAATCCCGTGGTGGTGGGGGCGTTTATGGCCGTGTTTATGGCGGCGTGCAGTAAGCTGCCCTCTTCCGGTGTTTGTGTTTGTGTGTGTGTGGCGGGCGAGGGTCGAGGCTGATTGCGCAGTCTTCCGGTTCACGGCGAGCTCGCACCCGCGCTCGGGGCTGATGGGGTGCGTGGCCTTCTCGGTCGTCTCGGTGAGCGCTTACGCGGCCGCGGACGCCACGGGCACGGGCACGGCGGCGGGGTCGGCGCGCATTGCGTGGACGCGCGGGGCGGCGCTGATTGTGGGCATTGTGAGCGCCGTCGTGGTCAACTGGGTCATCTGGCCGTTTGTGGCGCGGCATGAGCTGCGGAAGAGCCTGTCGTTTATGATGCTGAATCTGGGCATCTCGTATCGCGGCGTTGTTGCGAGGTTTGTGTTTGTGCGGGGATGGCGGGGAGGGAGGGCGGGGATGGGAGAGGGCTAATGAGAACTGCAGGTACATTTACTACGACGCCGACTCGGCGCCCACCAAGGAGGATCTGGAGCGCTCGGAGATGCAGGAGGCGCGGTTGAGGGAAGGTACGCATGCGCATCCATCCTTTCCGCCCTTTCGATTCGTTCCGCCCTGCTTCGAATTGCCTTCCTCGCATCCTTCCTCACCTCAATTCCTCACTTCACTTTCCCCCCCTCCTGTCTGAGAGCTGAAGCAACACTTTTTTTTCTTCTCTTTCTTTCACCTTCCCTACATAACACACATGTGCACATAAACTTTGCTTTTTCCCCCACCAAATTCTTTCCTTGCTGCAGCTCCCGTCGATCGCGGGCGCCATCCATTGGCTGTCTTGCCGAATCGGGGGTGCACCAAGTCTTGTTTGCTGTCTGTCTTGTCTGTCTATCCGGGGGGGGGCCCTACCTAACCATTCACGTTTTTTTGTCTCCCCAGGATTCGTCCGCATGCGCGAGCTGCTGGAAATGACCAGACACGAGATAGTAAGTGCACATCCATCACATCTCTGATCCACCCACCCACCCACCCAACGTCTGTCTGGGGAGGAGCCCTGCAGCTAGCACCAGATTGACCGTAGCTTACGCCTTCCCTTCGCAGCGCCTACGCGGGCCCTTCAACACAGCGCCCTACAGCGCCGCCATGGACAGCTGCGAGCGCTTCCTCGAACACATCGTCGAAGTGCGCCAATCATCCCTCTTCTTCCAGCCCTTCCTCTACGGCGGTTTGTCCCCCCCCCCCCCATTCCTTCCCTTCCCCCCCAATCCTCAGTGGAACCACGTCCCCCCTAACTCTCCCCCCTCCCTGGTAGGCACCGACGAGTTCACCCGCAAAATGCTGTCGGTGCGGCGCGACGCCGTGGCGAGCATCCTGATGAACCTGTACATCCTTGCGGGCGCGCTGCGCGCGAAGCGGCCCGTGCCCATGTACCTGCCGTCGGCGGCGGCGGCGCGGAAGCGCCTGCTGGAGCGCATGGCGGAGATTGAGGAGGAGGATGAGGCGCTGGCGGAGGTGCGGCCGCGGCCGGAGGGGTCGCGGAGGTGGGCGGATGTGTATCGTGAGTACCGTAATGATTCTTTTTTGAGTGTGTTAGGGGCGGGGAGAGGGGGGGGGGGGCGCGGCGGGGGCCTAGGGAGAGGGGTGAGTGGGGAGAAGGGGGCTAACTGGGGGGGGGTTGGGTGTGTGTAGAGTACGCCTATTCGTCCGCGCTCACGGACATCGTCGAGCAGTTGGAGCTGCTGCAGCGGTACACTAAGGCGATTGCGGGGGAAATGGCGCTGGATTTTCCAGACTGGTAGGATTGGCTGGGCTAGGTACTCTAGTTTGGTTTGGTTTGGGGGGGAAGGGGAGGGGAGGGGAGGGGAGTGGAGTGGTGGGCGGGGTGGAGAGCCTAGGCCCTAGGGGCGATCCATTGGATAGACACATGTAGCTTTTCATATATATCCGACATACATACAGTAACTCACTTTTTTTATTTTATTTTTTTATTTTTTTATTTTTTTCATTAGCTTATGTAGCTTAGCTTAGCTTAGCTTCCCCAGCTAGGGCTGCAGAGCAGCAGCACACAATAAAACAGCTAGCTGGTCATGTGCTTTCCGTGCAGCCATTATTTCTTCCGGATTATTCCCCCGCAATCCATTGGCCCCATGCACGATTGCTTGTCCTGCTTCTTGCTTCCTGCCTCCTGCCTGTCCATGCACGTCACAGCACAGACCAACAAACTGCTCTCTCTCTCGACAGCTTGAAAGAATCATCCCACAGCGCAGTCACAACACCCCCCCCCCCCACATGGGAACTTTAGAGTTAGGGTTCGAGATGGCGATGCATCCGTCCATTTTCCGCTGTCCGCCTAAACCAATTAACCCTAACCCACAACACGTACCGAGTGAGAATCCATGATGGTAACGAGCACCCCCTGACGTTTGCGGCTCTGTTGACTAAGGGCGCGATATGAGATTTAAAAAAAAAAAAAAAGCTTATCAACGGCAACCCCACCATTGGAGCCCCACTAACCAAACCAAACCACACCGAAGAAGCAGCACAGAAGAAAGGAAGGAAGAAAGAAAGAAAGAAAGAAAGAAAGAAGCAGCAGCAGCGCAGAATGTCGATACCAATCCCCCTGAGCGACGACGAGCCGATCGAGTGCCTGATCCACTTTGCGCAGATCCACGAGACATTTCGAAAGGCGGAGATTGACGCGCTGGCGGTGCTGCATGGCATTGAGGTTGTGTGGACGGGGTATAGCGACGATGTGTGTATACCTCTCTCTCTCTCCCTCCTCTACAAGCTCTCTCTATAGTGCAATTTGCTAATATATGACCCCAGAGCCCCTACGCAACCCTCCTCCTCCCCTCGCGCGCCTCCGCGCGCACCCTCGTCTCCCGCAGCATCCTGACAAAGTCCCTCTACGAGCTCTGGGCCACCGCCCCCACCCTGCCCTCCCTCCACGACACCATCCGCCAGCGCACTTCGCACCTGTGGCCCGCCCTCTCCGCGCACCCCTTCAAATTCACCATCGAAACCTACAACGCCTCCCACACCGCCGCCGCCCAACTCGCCCTCATCAACACCTTCTCCTACCTCCCCCTCACGGGCCCCATCTCCCTCCACAACCCCACCACAACATTCACCCTCCTCGAGTCCTACGCCCCCCGCGCCCCCACACCGCACACCCTCCACTTCGGCGTCCGCCTATCCGCCGGCGCCCGCAACCTCCCCGACACCTACGACCTCAAGAAGCGCACCTACATCGGCACAACCAGCATGGACGCCGCCCTCTCGCTCATCACCGCCAACCTCGCCCTCGCCGCGCCGGGCAAGCTCGTCTACGACCCCTTCGCCGGCACCGGCTCGTTCATTGTCGCCGCCGCCGCCTTCGGCGCCTCCACGTGGGGGAGCGACATTGACGGGCGCCAGATCCGCGGAAAGCCAGCCGGCCCGGGCGTGAGGGATAATTTCGTCCAGTATGGGCTGGTGGGCGGCTATGTGGATGGGTTTGTGAGCGACTTGACCAACAGCCCGGTTGCGGCGAGGAGGTTTCTGGATGCGGTTGTGTGTGATCCGCCGTATGGCGTGCGCGAGGGGCTGAAGGTGCTGGGATCGCGGGATCGCGAGAAGGGGCGGGAGGCGGTGGTGCGGGATGGGGTGTTGAGGCACCTGTATGCACATATTCCCCCCCCCCCCCCCCCCCCAACAACACAAAAAAAACTCCTTTTCTAAACTAACGCAGAGCCCACACCAAACAGGCAGCCAGACTACGTGCCCCCCAAGCGGCCATACAGCTTCACGGCCATGCTCGGCGACATCCTCGCCTTCTCGGCCGCGCGCCTGGTCGACGGCGGGCGCCTGTGCTTCTGGATGCCGACGGCCAACGAGGACTTTGTCGAGGGCATTGACATCCCGACGCATCCGCAGATGGAGCTCGTGTGTGTGTGTGTGCAGGTGTTTAATAAGTGTATGCTCGCTCACCGTTCCTCCCCATTTTTTTTTTCTTTCTGGCTCTTGTGGTGTGAGGTGCTGAGTAGGTGTGGGGGGGGGGGCACAGGGTCGCGGAGGCTATTAACGTATTCGCGGAAACCCGGGAATGAGGGTCTGGAGGGCGTGGCGCCGGTGAAGGAGACTCGGGAGGAAGGTGCTGCGGAGGGGGCGCCGAGGAAGGCGACGGCTGATGAGTTGAATAATTTTAGGAAGAAGGTAATGATCGCTTTCACCAGTTTTTCCTGCATGTATGCTAACGCACCATGCCATTCTAGTATTTCGAGGGCTTCCGGCCTTCGTGAAAGAGGGTTTAGAGAGAGAAAAGAGGATTATGCACAAAACAAGAATAGCAGTAATATTTATATATTTAGATATGTGTGTGTGTTTTTATGACTGTCTTTTGATTTTGATTCTGCAATTCTAGCGTAACGTGGCATCTACAACACCCCCCCCCCCCCCCCCAACTCCCCTCATCCCCCCTCTCTGCCCCGAACTACTTCACAGCTGCTCCCGTCCAGATTTCAGATATAGATTCCTCAGATGCCCAGACGTCTGTCTACAACTCTAACAAGCCAACGAGAACGAAAGAAAAAAACCAAGCCCCCTAACCAACCTCCCCCCCCCTATAACTAAACCAACTAAACTAAACCGGCTAACAAACACCAAACGCCATCCCCATCTCATTCAGCGCCCTCGACAGCCACGTGAGGAGCTCCTGGTCGCCCTGCGCGACCGCAATGCACTGCGAGATGAGCGGAAACAGCGTGAACAGGTGCTGCTTCGTCGACGGCGGCAGGTGGGCTAGAGTATTTGTTAGCTTAGCTTAGCTGGCGGTGTGGTGTGGTGTGTCGTGGGGAGGACGTGCTACTTACATTCTTTTGAGATGGATTTCGAGCTGGACTCAAGGTTGACTAGGCGCTTGAGGACGTAGAGCATCTCTTTGCGCTGGACGACGGGCTGCGGCATCCGCCCCCGTAGTGGTTGGTCCTAGTTTTGTTAGTTCCAAAAGTCATTTGATAGTCAGGGAAGTTCATACAGAGATGTAGTGCTGCAATACTAGCCCGGCTCTTAGCACTAGGAAAGGTGCGGCGGCGGCAGCAAGTCGTTGCAACTCAGGCGAATCTAGCGTCACAAGTTAGCACCTCGTTGACCAAACTAACGGCAGGAACCCTTACCATCACTTCCAATCTTGGAAAGCTCAAATAGCTCGTCGAGACAGACGTAGCTCATCCTGACCCTTCTCTCTAGAACCAACTCGCTCGTGATACCGCGCCGCCGTCTCTTCAGCCCCTCTAGCGCCCCTCCATCCATATCAAGGTCGCCAATGCCATATAGAAGTGAGCTCCTGACGACGCTTCTTACATACTCATTAACCACTTTATCTGGAACCACCGACCTCCCTAGCCGCGGCACAACTAATTCTCTAAGTTGCTTAAAGGAGCTAATATCGAAATCCTCATCCATTTGTAGCGTCACCTCACCGACACCGCTGGTCGTGTCCGCCGAGACAACAGAGCCAATGATCTGTATCACTAGCTCCCACACCTTCTCCTCGGCAATCTCCAGCGAATCCATAGCCGCCAGTGCGCGGGTCAAGATCCTTAACACGACTGTAGTCGCGGGTATCCACTGACTAGGCCGCTTAACTGAGCTCGTTGTTTGCGGTGCGAAATTGTATTTGAGGCTAATAGGCACACCTAGCGCCTCCAGAACGCTCTTTAGGGCGCCGCTAGAATATATCTCTCGGTTCTCAATGTGCTGCAATGTTACCGTCTCAATGATCTTCATACTCTGGGTCGCCAGCGCAATATAGGTGGGGATGCGCACGCCCTTCTTGTCGATACCTGCATGTAGGTTGGTGTCGTATGCGACTGTACTGAACTCTGATATCTGCTTCAGAACCAAGCTGGGCACGTCCGGAATGTCGGTTCGTAGTAGTTGCACGACCTCGAGGATGACGGCTTGCAGGGGCGTGAGGATGTCAATATCTTGGAAGTATGAGGGCGCATCGGGGAAGATGATGCACTCTCGCATTATAGCGAGTGTACGGCCTGCCATCTCTGCGTCGAGAGTAGGCTCGAGAAGCCGGTAAAGGGGCTTAAAGGAGTCCACATATGCTGTCAGAGTCTCTTGGATACCTGTGCGGGAGGTCTCGACGTTTCCTTCAACGAGCTTGATGCCCTGGCCGCTCCACATGCGCCAGACATCTTCGCGGTTTGCTTGGTCTAGTTTCTCGGGCTGAGAGACTTTCTCAAGGACATGCTTGAGCACTGTAAAGACATTTGTGTTGACCTCAAAGCTCCGCCGGGAGAGGAGATTCTCGAGGTAGTGGATGAAAACGCTCCAAGTGTTTCGGAACTCGGATTGCTGCGCAAAGATATCAAAGTAGTTTGAGTACAATGTTCCAATTCCGCTGAGGACGAGATTGATTGTATCGTCCCATTGCTTGAATTCACTCGTTTTTGCTTTGACGCCAACGTCAGAGCCAGTGGGTGCTGGTGCTGGATTGATCCCCATCATCTTGAAGACCACAATCTTCAGGCAAGAGCTCCACGCCTGCGGACCAAGTTGATGCCCGTAGGTATCGAATATTCTGAATAGCGTTTGTATTGAGCCTACGCATCTCATCAGCGTTTAGCTCTCAATCAAAAACTGGAAAAAACGATCACTCACCGTTCCGTACTTCTGCTCTCCGGTCACCACTCACCCCCGTCAGCCTCAGCAACAGCAACATCCACAACGCACTATGGCTATCTCCCTCTCCCTTTTCCACAATCTCCAGTAAATCCTCTTCCTTCTCCGCCCTGCCCACAGAGCCCCCTTCAGCACCCCCGCCCTTCGTCTGCAAATAATCACTCACGTTCCAGAAAAACGTTATCGTCGTTAGTGATATATTCAGATCATCCTTCTGGCTACAAAACGCAAACAGCGCATCAATAAGCACAAGCACACAGCTCGTCGGCAGATTTGCCAGAAAGTCGCTACAGATGAGCTCCAGCGAGCTGAAAGAGCCCCGAATAAGCTTTGGACTCTTTGTGCTTTTGGCTCCTTCCTGCTGCGCATCTTCCACTGGCAGGGCCGCATCCCGCCGCCATACTATGCTAGAATCAAATACGCCCGTGATTATCTCAAACACAATCTCCCATCCAGCGATCAGACTCTGTCCCGAATGCTCAAGTATCGCGTTTAACGCTTCCAAGCCCATCCGCACAATCTCTGCCTCTGTGGCTCTGACTCCTCCGTCTGGTGCCACACCCTCACCGCCTCGGACACCCTCTCTCAACGCCGTTAGAATCCTCCTCTGTACCTCTGCTACGTTCTCTGTGCTCTCTAGCCCAACCGTCTTTGCCGCTGCGACTACAACCTCGTTCAGTACCTCTGCGGCCTTCATACGAATTGGGTTTCCGCGGTCCCTGCTCCCAGCTACAGTAGCAAGATGGGTCGCAAGAAGGTCCCAACCTGTGCTTGCGGGATTGGGGCCAATGAGACGTGACATATTTATCATTGCCAGCTCGCCGAGCTTTGCAAGCGCAAAGGCGTTATCTGTGACCACAGCCTGAGACGAAAAGGACGACACACTCCCGATCCTTTTGTGGCCGCCAGGAAAGGCCGGAGAGCGGGGCTTCTCCACACTTGCCCGACCGCCTGATTCGCTCTCGCCGTCACTAAGTTTACACATTGCAGCAAGAATGGCCATAAACGCATCATCGGGAAAGTCACGAGTTGACTCGAACATTTTCCCTGCTGCGAGTTCAACGGCAGCGAGTTCAGGACCGACATTTGTCATGAGGGTTCCCTGGTGCTCAGCCTTCATTGAGTCGGTTCTTGATAACCCTCCTCCTGGTGCCGAGAGTGATATCTGTCGCCCATTTTTCCTCGAAGAAGCAAAGAGAACATAATCTGCACCCTGGAGGGTTTCAAGGAGGATACTCCAGCTTTTTTCCAAGGTTGGACCGAGGGCAATACCAAGGTTTAGCAATGCACGGAGACATAGCAAGTTCCGGCTATTAAGTCCAACTGCTGTCTCTTCCCTTAGACCAGGACTAGGAGCTCCACGTTCAGCATCAACACTGAGTAAACCCTTGGATCCAGCAGTACTGCTACCGCTACCGTCAACGTTGGCAGAAATAACATTACTCGGAACTGCTGCCTTGCCCAGCGTTGTCAGGAATGCATCTCTCGGCGTCGTAAGTCGCAGTAACCCAGCCACATGCGTAAATTTCTGAAAGCTCCTTACGAGCCCATGGTAAAACTCATTATCTAAAGTCGCATACAAAAAGGTAGAGCACGCTGCCAGGACTGCTGGCCAACAAGCCTCCATTATCGCAGCAGAAATCGTAATTTCCGCGGCCAAAGGATGGTTCTCAAGTGTGAGTGGGTTAATGGGGATTCGGTGCACTCTTGGGGCTGGCTTGCGTTTTAGAACCGCACCCTTTGTCGCCGTCGGGCTGGGAGTCCTCGGTGATTCGGCTGCTTCACTATCGCTCCCGGGGGCTACCACGAGAGACACAGTTCCAGTCCGAAGCATGCCTCGACCCCGCCGTTTGGAACCTCCGCTTTTACTTTCGCCGCCGGGAATAGTGAGTGGAAGGATAAACTTTGCAAGCCCCTCGCAGAATAGGTTGACACAAGTCAAACCGAGACAATAGACATAACTCTCTGGCATAGCGGGTGGCTCACTTTTATCAAGTTGATCAATACACGGGACCCTAACTAAACTCCACTGTGTACTCAATCCCGCAACCTGGACTTCCCCAAGCCCAACTGCACCACCGATAATTCCAGCAACTCCACCCGCTTCTAATGCAGCTTGCTCGGAGGAAAGGTCTTTGAGTGCCTGTGCACCAACTGGAACTGTGGATTGTGAACCCAGGCCTATGATGCTAGGCCGTTCAGTTGCAAGACGCGTGAGCGCGCCCATCAATTCTTTCATGATGGGTTTGCGCCCCTCCACAGCATCATAAGTGGCGAATATTTTACGGACAAGGGTAGGCTCTGAGCAGATTCCACGGAAGACTTCCATACAGAGGGCACGTTTCCAAGGTGCACTAGCGTCAGGGTCTAGCATCTGCGTGAGAAGGTTCAACGCGTCCTCGCATTCAAGACTGAGAATACTAAGATGTCTTCTTAGAAGAATATAAAGTACCCTAGTGATTCTTACTGTTGTTGGGAAGTTGAGCCTATCGGCTAAAGAACGAATGATGAGTGGTGAAACTCTTGTCTTCAGAACATATGCCTGTTCTGGGTGCGTTAGGAAAATGTCCGGATGGTTGGTAAGAACTGATTCTATAAGTTCTAGTCCGAAGGGCTGTGGAAGAACATTGAAACGGAGAAATTGAGGACGATGGCCTTCTGTGAGGAGGCAAAGATCATAAAAGACACGATATGCATCAAATGCTGCAGGACGGAGAGGTATAAGGCCATCATCGCAAGGTGCCTCGCCAACAGTGTGAATATCGGTTTCTGTTAAACGCTCATCTTCTGAGACTACTTTATCGAATATGGAAATTACGATCTGGGATAGTGCTGGGAGGTGTCAGCAATATCATCTTCAGACTGTGCGAGATAACATACTTGCGGCGGCAGTATTATTAACAACGCCCATCTTACTCCCTTGAAGAATCGAGCATATTAGCAGTGCTTCTCCAAGGAGATTTCCATTCAGGTCTTCCGCATAGTTTTGCAATAGCGGTGGTAGCGCTTGTAGAATCTTGAGCTGGATCTCGACACCTGTAGCCCGGTTAACTCTATCCTCTACTAGTGAGCCTTCAACTGTTTCGTACCCAGATTCGCAGCTTCTCTGAACGCTTCCAAAACTTCTCGCAATCTCGACTACAGGAAAAGTAAGCATTAACGGCTCTACTTTCACAATCCGGAAAAGTGGGCAGCACCTTTGCAAGAGCTCTTGAAAGAATCAATCGCTGTAGACACACCACCCCGATGGTACTGAACTTCGCATTCCGAGTGCCACAGGCGATCAAGAACGGCGACAGAAATCCCGGTTTCGTAGATAGCTCTATAGCACACTATCAGCTCCAACAAAGAGACACCTCCGGGCTTGCGTTGAAATACCGGCAGCTACCTCAGCTAAGGGACTCAGCGACTTTAGATCCGACAACGATTTCTCCGCAGCCTACCACCTGTCAGTATCATCTATTCCCGAGCTCGGAAGTGTACTGTAGCATTATCGCACATGTCTCAGATCCGAATTCTTCCGTTTCGCCTCTTGCACTAGGTTTGTGAGCTCGTTGGTGAGAAACTGAGCGGTCATTCTGAAAACCCGTCGCTCAAACAGCTCCCGTGGTGGACGCTCTATTAGGTTGTGATTAGGTAACTATCGCTCTGCGTGGTAATTCGACTCTCCTAACGAGATTGAGGTGATTTAATTGTTTCGTCGCGCGTGGCCTTTCAAGTTTGAAGCTTTAGGTCGTCATCGTGCGAGCCGCGTGGGTGTGATCTGCACGCTGTCCTAACCGTTTGTGGGTGGGACAGGTACCGGGTGTGCACGTTAAATACCGAGAAGCCTTGAAGGATTGGTTGATTTTGTATTGGAACCGCCCATGGTAACCAAAAGCAGCCAATGAATTTTGGCCTTGGCCTCAAAATTTATATGGTGGAAAAAAATACCGAGACGTTTTATCTATCTTCACTTAAAAATTCAAATATTTTCCTAAAAATACAAAAAAATAACCACTGAATAGCCCTTGCTCACAGGTTCACCTGAGTACTGATTCGAAGTTATCAAAGAAGTTTTGGTGAAGTTCGAAAAGAACAGGAGTAGAAAAGAGGTTGAGGAGGCTGCGTTGCAAAAGCTGCAGGGCAGACTGTCCAAATACCTGCTTGGATGCCAAGTGTCATTTTAATTATATCAGCCCAATCAGATTCCTTTACAAACCCTCACTTTTTAAAATTCCCCAAAAAGGGGTTCTCAGTACTTACCCTCAACCCCCGGTACATGCAGGGATCAACGGGCCTGTTACCAGATTGGTGATATCAACCTCAACTACAAGCACTTAAATAGGATGCTGTGCTCGATATATTATTGAGACTTATGAAGGTCATTGCTAGCTCCCAGCATTGAAGAGTAGCCACCAGGCTCTGCTGCACTTACTTTAGGGATAGCATATGCTAATGCCGATATTATATTAACGTTATTCCATGCAACAAGTACATGTACAGCGGTAGGTAATAAGTGATGGAACGCCCTGAGGTACAGTTATACCTGCAAACACCGTATGTTGGTGGCGTTTTACCTAAAACAGGTATCACTGTGTCTCAGGCCGTTCCATCACTTATTACCTACCGCTGTACTTAGAACATCATGAAGTACTTTGTATGTACTCTACGCAGGGCAGATAATGCAATAAGGACCTGAAAATGCGGGCTGAAAGCAGGGACTCAATTTGGTGTAGCTTTTTATTTGAATTAGAGGTTGCTATTATAAAAAGTTATTTCTAGGTTCTTCTTGCCTACTCCGAGTACGTATTCGGTTCGATTATACACATAAATACATATGTACTCATGCGTGATTCAGGTAACTATATAGGCGTACACAAGTAGTGAAGAACACAATCGGTTTTCGTTCAATACTGCGGCTTTGTAATGGGCCTTCTTATGGGTGTACTGAGTATAAATATGAAATAAATACTTAGAGGGGAGATAGAATGCTTTTATTAAGAGCACTAGAGAAAAATTTGTAAGACCAGTGAGATTATCCTTTTGAATTAAAGTATCGGTGGGTGGTTGACAGGTTTCCAGTATAATATCTCTTGGCGTTAGTTCCTAAAGAACCATCTATAATCTATGTATTTTCGGACACCGGAAAAACTTTCTAATGAGTGAGTTGAAGCACACCAAGACTGCATATCTAGTTAGTTAGACACCATGTATTTGATCTTCGACCATCAAAAGCCCTGGAATCAAGCTTGAGGTGTGAGTACGATACTATTCATATTATGATTACACTACTTTTTGTTCTTTTTGAATTTTTATGTGTGGACCAATGACTACATGTACATGTAACTTAATAGCTTTTATTGGCATAGGCGCAGGAGAAAGTCATACATCCTCTTTTATCAGTCCTGATCTACATAGTAAGCCAAACCTAACAAACGTTGAACGGCCCAAAGCCCAAGGAAATTCAACACCCAGACGTAAATAGAAGTGTAGAGGCGTTGTATAGTTTTATTGTACGGGCCTCACATATAAAGACATCACTATCTATCCCATCGTCCGTCAGTGAAATGCTGACCCCCCAGAAAAAAGCAAGTTTTGTGTGGCTCTACTAACAGATCTTGTTATCTCTCTTATCAAATAATAGATCTCCCACACAAATTTAATTCCTCTATTATAGGGGGGTCAGCATTGACGGGCCATGGAATAGCTACGCGCGTGTAATCAAGTAAAGTACGCACGTTGCTTCAATTTTCCACTCTATCGACATGTCCTTTACCACTGCCCATTTCTTCGGATAGGCTGCGCCGACGATTAGTCGCAGGCATACTCATATTCGGGTAACGAGCTTTGTGTAAGTAATACTAGCTGCTATTCGGAGGTTTCCTACGTTAGGAGGAGGTGCGTCGAGTGATATTTCGTGATGGAACTACAAGTATTCATGGTTTGGTCTCTAAAACCAAGAGATCAAAATCTAGCACATGCTACTTAGTACAAGGTAACATGATAGAGGTTGCGTTGGTGTGTAATCGACAAGAAGAAAAGAATGGGGTGCGTGCGGGTTAGTTAGGGTTACATGTAGTTAGGGTATCTTATCGCACATCTGTGGTATCGGATAATACAATAGGCAGGATCGACTAGTACTTTGACAAGGTAAGTGTATCCATTACGACACCTCACCCCGACCTCAGTTCCTTCTTTGATTCCTATATTGTGTTCACAAGAGCAGCTCAACACCTCCCAAGACAGGAGACCACGTCTCCAAAAAGTACAACCAATCTTTTACCATAAATTCACATAACTAGTCGCTCCTACACTATCTACGCATCTGACCAAATACTCTTCGCCAGCTCCACAACCAGCTGCATCTTCTTCTTCATATCATCTTTTGTGACAAGGTTCCCCTCCATATGACTCGCAAACCCGCACTGCGGGCTCACACATATCCTCTGGAGCGCCTCCTCCTTGCTCTCGGCTTTTCCAGCTGCCATTGTCTCCGCCGCCGAGTAGACCCTCTTCTTCATCTCCTCGAGATCCTCCAATTGCGGGAACTTACTCGTAATCAGGCCCAGTACGATGGTTTTGTTTGTGGGGAGATGCTTTAGGGGCTCAAATGTTCCCGCGCGCTATTAAGAGGTCAGTATGGCGGTGCAGATGGGGAGTGGATATTGGGGTGGGTCTGTAGTATACCTCAGTGTCGTATTCAAGGTAGTACACATCCACGTTGATCTCATTGAAGAGCTTAGTAGCAATCGCATCATACCCGCCCTCCGAGAAATGCACACTATGTCTAAAGTTCCCTCGGCACAGATGCAGGCCAACCGTCATATCCGGCAGCTTCGTCGCACGGTCCCGGAGACAGTTGTTATACAGCCTGATATAGCTCTACTCAACCCACAACCATCAGCAATCTCCCCTAGTTATCCTCAAAGAAAAGACACGTAGGAGGAACCTACATCAAACAGTGCCTCGGGGTCCTCGCCCTCAGCCTTCATTGCATCTAGCATTGGCTGCGCGCAAAAGTACGCCAACAGCGGGTCATCGAACTGGATGTTTCTGCAACCCGCCTCGTAGAGGATCTCTAGCTCTGTGCGGTATGCGACTGCGATGTCGTTGAAGTGCTCTTCGTTGTTGGCATAGATGGATTTGTCGTAGGCATTTTCGCCTTTGGGACGTTAGTAAATCTACTTAGAGTAGTGGGGGGGCGGAAGGAAAGACACCATGGCGTAAGTGGTACCACTCTGGGGCCGCGAGGGCGAGCTTAATGTTCTTTACTTCTGAGGGCTCAACTAGGGCTTTAAGGGCCTCGAATTGAGGAAGGTAGCCAGATTTGACATGTCTATTACGGATAAGTCAGCGTTGGTTTATTGGTGATACTAGGGGAGTATTTGCGTACTTTATTTTACCAGTACAGAGAGTTGTAGAGGCGGGTTTCATTCCTTTGAGGAGAAAAGCGCTAACGTCTGGGACGTACATCTAATGGTGGGTATCGATGTTAGTCCAGATATAATATAATTTGGAGAATTTATGCAGATATCTACCTTGAAGATCTCCCTCGGTGGTTCCGCAACATCTACACCACAATCAATATATTTATCAATTCCTTGGTTGAACAGAGTACCTACAAGTAAACCCTTCCAAATGGTCAAAGAACCCGTCGAAAAACATATGACGTCTACATATCATATCTCGTCAGCCCGCACTTTCAATTACTATAAACGAAACAGTACGTTCATCCACTAACCTATACTCTCCGTCCGAGATTCCCTTCAACCCCACCTCCTTCTGCAGCTTTACAACCTCCTCGATAGCTTTATCCTCAACCGTCTTAAGCTCCTCCGGCGAGAGCTCCTTCTTCTCGAAGGCCATCCGCGCCTTCAGCAGCTCTTCGGGCCTAAGCAGAGAGCCCAGATGCTCAGCACGAAACGGGGGGTTCAGTTTAAAGCTCATTTTCGTTAGAGGGGAGAATATATCAATGCAATTGTAATCGAAGCTGTCTAGCTGTTGAATAAAGAGAGGTTGGATACCAACGAGAGGAGGAGAAAATGTGCTTTTATATACCCTCTCCCATAGTGGGGCATACCGAAGATCCTCCCGGATCTCGCTTGCCGAAGCGGGGATCATGTCCTCACTGGATAGCCCCGTGGGCCATTAATAACCTTACAAAGGGCTTGAAATCCCCACGCATATGGCTGTCAAAGCATATGATAATATGCCAAGCCTGCGCTAGAGCTGCCGAAAAGCTTGGTTTAGGGCATCAAGTGCGGTGCTTTCTCTTCACGTGATAGCGTGTGGTGAGGAAGGTAGAGTACACGTAGGTATTTGCTCCACAGTTGCTGCTCTATCTCCGACATACTCTATCTAGAAGATGCTCTGGCATCGCTTAAGCGGACTTTGGGAGCCTTGTGCATATATCTGCGGTTTACAAGGTGTTTACCATATCATGAGATATCACTCGTTTCGTTTAGTCATTAGGGAACGCTAATTATAGACAGCCCATGCAGCTTTTGCCGGGCAGCCTTATTAAATATAATTAAAAAAAAAAAAAAAATATAGGGCCTCCTCGGCTCATTCACCGTGCACCTTGTAAATCCCGGTTTACCCTCTAGTATGTACCGAAGTGCCGAACCAAACGGTATCATGCTAGCACTGCACTTTCAATGCCTCATTCTCCAAGCTTGAGACAAAATCCAAAGTATATACTAGCACGAGACGATACATATATCCGCATTGTCAAACTTTCGAGTTCCGACATCAGCTACACCAAGACAGTTATATTCACCATGCAGGCTTCACCACCTTGTATCATGCACACATGAGAGTTGCTTTTCAGTAGTGTGGTCCACGAGGACGAACGTTCTTATGTCCTTGCCTCGAGGACCCCCGAAGACAATTCTTGGTATACTATACACTTATATGATTGTATAATCTGCCCGATTAAGATGAGGTCAATTGGTCAAGGATAGGATATGCTTTTAAATTGAAATAAATACCGATTTTTGCTCTCCCGGAATCGTTTTCGAGGACAACGTTGTTGGGCATCGAGGTCAGACAAGGACAGAGGTCAACGAGGACGAAGACACTCTCAAACCTCGCCTCGGGCGTCCTCATGGACCACACTGCTTTTCAGTGACAGATACGTACTTGGATCACTTGACACCGGCGAGCGCAAGCGTGTCCGCTATTCAACGAGTACAGCTGTATAGCCACCAAGATCTAAGTAGACACTATCTAAAATATCCTATTTGCTAGAGGAGTAGCTAGGGGGAAGTATTGTAACTAAGCTTCACATTATAAAAAGTATTGCTCTAGAACAGACCAACCAATAACTTCCTCTTAACTCATGGCGTGCATTTCCTGTCGAACTCCTGAAGGAAGTATTACTCATACCCGTCTTTGTGCTACTGATACCATATCTAACTATAAAATCCAAACACCGAGAAAATAGATCCCAGAGCTCCTCTACAAATATAATAGCGCCCCCTCCAGCCCTTTCAGGTCCTCCCTGATCCCCTGAATATCATTTCCAGCCTTACTTGCAATCTCCGATTTTCTACCCTCCCCAAAGCCGATCCATCTACGAACCAGGGCGCCATCCAACACTCCTCTCAGGAGGTCGCCTCCGACACCCGCGGCTCCGCTACTGACAACGGCCCTGTATCCTCGGGGGTTCAATCCTGCGGTATGCTCTTCGCCACTTACAATTTGGCCTTGCACGATGTTGAGGCGACGGTAGCTGGTTTCTGGGAGCGTGGTGATCATGGCGAGAGAGCCGGTAAGGGTCCCTGCTAGGACAAGGAATTCTTCGGGGGTGTCTGTGACAGTGTCCATTACATCTGGGTCGGGGTCTGAAGCGATTGGGCGAGACCGTGGGAGCATCGTAAGGGTCTTGACTTCATGGCCGGCGAAGAAGTCGGCGCGGCGGATTAAACGCTGACCTGCGAGAGATTTAGGATCTAATCCAGTCAGTACCGTTTGTTCGAATGAGGAAATAGGAGAGAAAACATACGCTCGGGATCGTATTGCAAAACATGAATATTGCTGTCCGCATCTGCAACCACGAAATATAGCTTGTTGCCATCGGGCAAAAAGTCGGCGGCAACAACTTCGAGTGTTTGCGTATCCTTTCCGAACAATGTCATCTTATACGGCTCTTCAGAGAAACCGGTGAACCAGATGCTCTTCATGAAGTCTCCAAATAGTATCATGCCGTCGAGGTTCTTTGCAACAGTGACATACATACTCATGTCCATGAACGCCACTGGGAGAAGAGACTGGTCTTCTTTCAAACCTCGTACCATTATCTATAGATGTTAATCGTGAAACGCACATCTACGGGGGAGGGGAGACTGTAATCAAGTACCTTTTGACCCTGCGCGGCGAGAAGGTATCCATTGACCCCACAGATAGCAGATACGGTCCCCTTTACTTCCTCACGACACACAAGCTTCAACTTACAGTTCGTCTCTGGCTTTCCGGGCTCTGGCACAACCTCAATTATCTCAAAGACGTAAATCCCACCTCTTGCGGAATGGTCTTCCCCCTTGAATATACCCGTGCCCACAGCAACAAGCTGTTTTCGCTCCTTTGTGTGCTCCGAGATTTCCATCTCGATCGTCTTCACTACCAACGCAATTTCGTTATGTGCAAATTTAAACCTAAGCTGTGTCAGTGATCGTTTTGGAGGGAAAGGATTTGGAGCCCCAGAGAACTCACTGGTCAACAACACTCCAGTTTAATGGTGACAAGATTTTGATCGCCCCGCTTTCCACCTCCGGTTGTAAAGTTGTTTCGTCCTTCGCGATACTCCCATCGTCCTCGGCCAGGTCAAAAGGTACCAGCTGTGTAGTGCTCACGACATATACGCCCATCGGTGGGAAGTAGCTCAGCGCTTGCACGACGTCGCCCACGGCAACCTTTCTTGCACCCCAGTTCCCATCAAAGTTAAACTCAGTTGGCATGAGTGAAACACGTACGATTCCGGAGTTGTCAACATACACAAAACCTCTATCCGCACCCGAGGAATGGAATGCTGCTAGACTCCGGACTGCATTTCCAGCCAGGCGGTGCACGTGCGGTATACTCTTGCTTGTCTTCAACACAAAAGATGGGTCTGGGCCAGGGAGAAACACGCATGTATACCCTGCCAGGTTTTGAATGGAGACAAGGGGGCGAAAAATAGTTTTTGATGATGAGGATTTCATGGGATTGATAGGTAGTGTAAGGTGCGGGTTTGGAGACTTTGAGAATCGTAGAGTGGGTTTGCTCTCGCTAGTGCCAGGACAAACAAACGGTTTGTAGAATGTAAGATCGTCTCGCGCACTTCGAACCTAATATTTGTTAATTAGATATCGTGGATTTTGGCTAGGGTTGGTGTCTGGTACAATCATGAATGGCTCCTTCGCGACCTGGTCTCCCAGGTCGGTAACTAATATCTCAACTATATTCTCTTTAACATTTTTCTCCCGATGGGAATGAGATGTTGTTGGTTCAATTGTGTCGTCGGCTCTCAATAACGGGGGAAGAGAACTGAATCCTTCGGATACGAATATAGGTTCGGCCAAATTTGCAAGACTATAAACCTAATCATGGTCAGTACAGCGACTTGTGCACGGTCCAGGAAGAGGATCTAACCTGCAAGCATCCCTCAAAAGTGATGAGGAATAACACGTACTCCGTTTCCTCCTCTTCCTCCTCTTCCTGGGCTTTCTTTTTCTCCTCAATTTCCTCTTCTGATACCGCAGCTACTGGATGAAACTCGCCTTTTTTAGCAGCATAAATACACCCCGAAGAGTACTTGCTCGATTTCAGTCTATCGCCCCTCTCCTCTTCAACAAGTTCCAGATTTCCTTTATGAACTCTGTAGATCACTATACTGCCATCAATTCTAACCAGGAGCACATATGGATCATAAACTCTCGCCCTCGCCACGTTTGGACCCTCCTCTCCGGTATCTTCATTGAACATGGGTATTATTTGTGCCAACTGCAAGTCACAGTCATAAACACGAACTTGTTCACTCACAACTTGAACAACTCTCATTCCTCCACCAACAACACCAACCTCAAGAGTCTCTCCCTCGCTCTCAAAGTCAGTGCCCCGGACCTCTTCAAATGTATCGCCGACCCTGAATACTTGACTCTCCTCGCTCTTACTCACGAACAAGAACCCATCAAATTCTTCCTCCGCCCCTCCTTGGTCTTCTTCGCCGCTTGTTAAGCCTGCTAACGCAGAATTGACTGCCGTCTTCCCCGAACGAGCTCGTACGGTCCAAAGTGCCTGGCAGGTTGGGAAGTCGAGTTTACCTACGACAGTCGGCGCGATTGACTTGCGCAACACACTAACTCCGGCGTCTTCGGGTGTATTGATAGGACCAGCAGTAGTAACGAGTTCTAATTCAGGCGTAACACCAACCTGGCGCGAAACAGAATCCGGGGTAAACGTGGGACGTCCTAGGACGATATCACGGAAGGGGCCAAGGTTAAGAAGACGGTCATGGGTGGAGAAAATATATTCCCCCATCGGCTTTACCCCACCACCCTTTCGCTCTGTCTTTTTATAAGAAGAATCACCACCGCCGTAAAGGTCGTCATCCATGTCCTCCAACATCTTGTATACATCTTCTTCATCTTCGTTCTCAGCAACTTCTTCCTTTAGACTTTCACCAGGTTTCTTCTTCTCGCCTTTTCGCTTCCACTTGAGAAGACGTGCATCACCTTCTGTGCAGCCCACAAAGAGGCGGCGGGATCCAAGTGCGACGAGGGTCGAAACCCGGCCGCCAACGAGTGAGGTAGGGTGGTTTGCAAGGCGAGTGATTTTCACGCCACTGACGTTGCGGCCATCAGTTTTGAACTCAATGATAACAGCCTCTCCCTTCTTCGTAATAAGCAAAATGTCGCCGTTTTCACCCTCAAGTTCAACCACCGAGCTTCCTTCTAGCTCCAGGCATAGGTCGCTTTGGTCGGCAAGACCGGCAAAAGTGGTACTTCTCTTGGTATATGGGTTTACTGCTACCCCAGTTGTCTTACCAGCTTGGTCAAGGTGGATAATTTCGTTGCCTCCAATCAGCAAGCTCCCTCCGATTGGTGGGGCCAAAGCAACCACCTTAAAGATATCATATGGGAGCCCCGAAACACTGAGAATTGGAGTGGAGGCTCGCTGCTCTAAATCAAGTGTGATGACAATATATGAAATGGTATCTTTCCTCCCCTCTGCCGCCAGCAGACCAGCCCATGTCCGGCGAGGCGAGTAAAGGATTCCGAACGTAGGCCCGCGGTATTCGTGCAAAAACGTGAGAGATATAACATGTGAAATCGCATCGTCAAGTCGAGATACTGGGAGTACAAAAGATGGATGATAAGGTTTATCCGCAGCGACCAACTTCGCTGCCATGGCGTCCTCTTTTGTTTTATCTGTAGTTCCGGCCATCTCGCTATCGAGCTCGTCCTCGGGTTTCTTCTCAGGGGCCGAAGGATCCCAATCATCGTCTTCACCTTCGGCCATGTGTAGATCATGACCAGCTCCATCCACATTTCCTAACGATAAATCTTCGTCTTCCCGTTGCCGAAATGGTAGGATTGCGATCATGTCCCCCGCAAAATTGAGCGCCGCGCAGCGACTCCCTGGATCTGCCACAAGGGTTGTCGATAGTCCTTCTGGAACCACAGATGGCCAGAACTCCTCCCTTTCGTAGTAATGTAAACTGATTGTCGTTACTGCGTTTGTCGATGGATCCCACTCCAACAGCGAGAGCTTCGCATCCTTAAACGACAGTAATAGTGCCTCTCCGCCCGATTTCGATGCGAGAAGCTTAATCCGTTGCATTCCCGTTACCGAACCGCATAGATTGTATTCCGCGACCAGAACAAGCTTCGTGACCGTTTGGACCTGCGATCGCTGCAGGGCTATGTCCGCCGCGAAAGTCCCTTCCTCATCCGCGTCAAGAGCACGGCGATCAATTCCCCCCTCCTTCTCCTTGTTAGCTGGGTCAGAGGAAGATGTTCCATTGCTAGATGGGAGTTCAGTCTCATGTGTTGTCGTGCAAAATATCTGGAGGAGCGACGTTCGTGCGACGATCAGGTTTTCGGCCGTCGCAGATGTGAAGTGGATAGTGAGTGAGTGCGAGACGGCCGTGGGAGCGGTCAGTTCAGTGTAAACTTCCGGCATCGTGAAGGGGCGAATGAATTATTTGTTGCGTCTGTTATGTATTACTAGTATCGGGCGGAGAATTGCATTCTGCGTCGCGTTCTTTCTGAGCGGTAGTTGAATGTTGTAGCAGGAGCTCGTGTAGTTTATTATCCCTTGGCTTATTGGGGTGCGGCTGAGTGACTGTGCCACTGCAGCCAGCGTATCTTCATATCACGTGCCACATATTATTCCATCATACTTTAGAACGCCTAGTTTAAATCTTGCGCCACGATATGAGCCGAAGTCGCAAGCTTTGTACCTAGGATACAGCTCATTAGGGATTACTGAATCAGATAGCTACATGTACGGTCACGAGGCTAGTCATCGACATGATCACGCAGCGGCTGTGTTTACTGCCCCAAATAATGACCATGAAACTCCATGTAAACCAGTGCATTTAGTCGATTGAGAGCTCTGAACACATATGCCAATACATGCACGTGTACCTACGTACATGTAGATACATACTAGCAACAAAGCCTCATCACACTCGAGCTACAGCCTTCAATTAAGGGAATAAAGGACCAGAAATATTTAGGGTTGTAGTTGTGTGGTTCGGTGGAATAAGAAGTACATGTACTTGCCTACGCGGACGGTTTTACTAGATCGGCACATGTATTCCCAGTTGAATCATGAATAGTCACTCGTTTAAACTTCGGAAAATTATTATTACGTCACCAGAGCTCAGCTAAACGCTAACCACCTTTGTATTACACGAAGCCCCTTCAGTAAAGTGTGGTCTCAGCCGAAATCACAGCACCCCGCGATTCCCCTCGCGACAAGGAGCCAACCGTTGCAAAGCAACCCCACCTCACATAATCCACACCTCCGACTTCACCTGCTACGATCAGCTCTGATCATACTACCTATCGCCTTTTTTTATATCCCAGACATCCTCCCTATAGCAGACCTCACAACGCAAACTACAAAACATGACCGCCAAAGTCCCCAGGAACTTCCGCCTGCTCGAGGAGCTGGAGAAGGGTGAGAAAGGTCTAGGAGCTGGTGAGTCGATTATCCGCTACACAGATACGCAAAAATTTTAGTGAAGTTGATTGCTTTCCCGCGATAGACGGCTGCTCCTATGGTCTTGCCGAGGGAGACGACGTTATGATGTCGAACTGGAACGCTACGATTCTTGGCCCCCCCCATGTGAGTCTTTCCTGCTTGAGATCCTCCTTTCGCGTTCTAGAAGCACAAAAAAGCACCCGTATCACCGAGATCATTCACTTACTGTTGTCCAGAGTACCCACGAGAATCGTATCTATAGCTTGAAGATCCACTGCGGCGATTCCTACCCGGACCAGCCTCCTATCGTCCACTTCATCTCCAAAATAAACCTCCCCGGCGTTGACCAGAATGATGGCAGAGTATGCTTGAGAGTCTCCCGATAAACTTCTTCCCCGTTTCTAATACTCATGAAACATTTAGGTTGATCTTTCAAAGCTTCAACGTGTGAGTCAGTGGGCTAGAAACTTCACCATGGAGAAGATCCTTGTAGCTCTTCGAGAGTATGCCTAACTCACCCCCCTCCCCCCTCCGTTTACTACACTAACGCGTCTATCCTCAATTGTAGGCATATGGCCCACCCTAACCACCGGAAGCTCCACCAGCCCCCAGAGGGCAACACTTACTAAACTCGAGGGGAGAGGCAGACGCCATGATATCTGGCTGGGTACAGCATAACCGAACGGCTATTTTACAAATGTGTAAACGAGACTGATCCTTTCCTGTGCACGTAAACCTAGCTTGTGTTTTTTTTTTAACTTTACTTCGTTTCAGTTGGTAGGGTTCGGGGGCTTCGGAGTATCGTAGTTTCTCAGGAATTTGCTTTTGTTACCAAACGTTCCTACTAGCGGTTATTCCAGAAAGATGCTGTGAAGTGAACTTGCATTTCTGGATAGGTATTCATCTATAAAATGCCCGCTGCGTGGCGAGACACTAGTGAATAAATCAGCTGTAGTTTTAGTATCGATGACATCACGAGAAAACCTACCTAGTTTTTAGTAGACGGGTTCAATGAGACTCGAATCATATTGGGTGATTTTACTCCTGGTTTTATAGGTGTGTGGGTTACAGCGGTGAAAAGCAAGTCGGAGCTACATATGAATGCACGTCTTCCAAATACTTTAAATATGAGCTTGTCTCATAAAAGTATCTCTAGACTTACGTAAAGCTCGATATTTGTTGCTGCGTGGGGTGTGTGGTAAAATTGCTTTTCATGCGTACTTTACCGCCCGAGCGGGTATTTTTATAAGCCCTCATATAAACCTTAGTACACCATAGGATTATAAGAGCCTTACTCACTATAATAAGTGTGATTTAAGCGTGTTTTCAGTATTAAGTAAGCCTTAAAACTGCCTTAAAAAAGAGCTTATATACCAAAGAGGTCCTTATAAACCTATGGTCTGTATAAGGGTTAAATAAGGTTTAATATGTGCTTATAAAAAATCCCAAACCGCCGCTAAGTATATGGAAACAATCCGTAGATAGACGCGAAACGCGGATTCACTGCAGCTGATAACCTTATACCAATCGTACTGGATTTGGTTTTTCTCTCGTAATGATCCCCACACTTCAATTATCAAAAATATTTCATAATTCAGGTACATATAAATTTGTACAAAGGTCTTCGGGTTAGATCGCCTGTTGAGACTTTGGTAGGGATCACCGACGATATATATATATCGCGATCGAGTGATGCGTAGTGATTCATATAATCCGTAAAAATCTAGAGTAGCTTAATATCCTGGGCCTTATGTTAGGTTCTGAGGAAATCGCGTAAAATATGGTTGATACATTATTGGGTGATAAAAATTTCCGTGCTTAATTCGCACAGCAAAAATTACAAAGTCGGTAATCAAGATGCATACACAGGAAATATTTCTAACACTCTCCAGCTCTTAAATCCTTTCCTTTATACATACATGTATCTATTGTTATGACCATCCTCATACCATACAAAATTGTGGACTTGGCGCGTTTTTGTATGGGATCCAATAACAAAAACGTGAGTAAAGAAGCAAATTGATTCGTGAAATCCCCGCATCTTAGGTAAGAAGAGTAGATAGAGCGCATAAAGGCTGACCTCTGAACCTTTTAATCTCCGACGCTTTCGAATCCCAGGTCTCCGGACACAAACATACCTCTTAAGAATATTTAGCTCGCTTTCATGGCCGACCCGCTTTCTATCGGTGCTTCAGTAGTTGGATTGATATCGACAGCTACGCAGGTTTCATTAGTTATGCTTGACTTCATTGATAACGTTAAGGATATCGATGCACCAATTTTGGCTCGGCATGTTATGAGTGAGGTTTACGCCATCAAGGTCGCAATATCCACTCTTCAGGGATATCTCTGGGGTGAGACGAGTACCACTGGCTCGCAAGAATCCATGATCCTCGTGGAGCACTTAGCTGTCGTCTTGACTGGATGTGTGTTTACCTTCGTCGAACTTGAGAAGGAGGCTAGCGCTCTGAAATCAAGTTACAATATGAAGATATTAGAACGGGCGAAATGGGCACGTAAGAAGAGTACTTTCACACAAATATTTACACATTTGCAAAACCACAAGACTTCATTGATTTTGATTTTAGATATACTACAAAGGTCAGCTGGCTTGCTGTTATTTTCCAGCAAGTATGCTACTAATAATCCCATATAATAGTCAAAACAATGCACAAGCCGAACAAAATTCGGGCAAGCTCTGCGTATCCGTCAATGAGATATTGAACACCCAGAAGGACATCCTCAAGCGGCTCGAAAGATTGGAAATAGGAATGGACGCAGTAGGATCAGATCCAGTAGCCGGAGGAGATGATCTAGATACAACGTCTTTATATTCATTACGAAATACGATAAGCCGCGAAACCGTTGGGAACATGATTTCCAAGTTTAGTTTTTCTTTCGATACTACTCTAAAGATTTCCGGGGTTTATCAACGGGCGCATTCCAGATATCCAGTATTCCAAACAGACTCCAAGACCAGCTCAATTGCAGCACAGAGCATGGGATGGTCCTTTATGTCAGGGTTGAGCATTTCCGATATATCACAGGTGTCAGTCTTGAGTTTACCAATATACCCATGTGACATGCCCAACAACCAATCTTACACCTTCGGCCGCGAAATACCGCGCTCTGTAGCTTTGATTGAGAATCAAAATACGACCCAGATATTACTCGAGAGACCGCCTAGCCCTAAATATAGGCTCTACCGGGCACGCAATCACCTACCATCGTTGCATTCTGCCGCGAAAGATGGGGATAAAGATATGGTTAAATCATTGATTGATAACGGAGTGGACATCTCAGCAGATAATTCTTTCGGATTGACAGCCTTATACATAGCGACGGAGAATGGACACAAAGACGTGGTGCAGCTATTGCTCGAAAACGGAGCAGACATCTCAGCAGCTAATTATTTCGGATTGACAGCTTTGCATATAGCAGTACGACGTGGGCACAAGGATGTGGTTCAACTTTTACTCGAAAACGGAGCAGACGTCTCGACAATGAGTACATCTGGGTCAACGGCATTGCATGTGGCAGCAGAAAATGGGCGTGGAAGTACAGCTTTATTACTACTCAAAAACGGGGCTGATCTCTCTGCAGAGACAACCCTAGCAAATGGGTAGCATTGCACATAGCGGCAGAACGTGGGCACGAAAGTGTAGTCCGATTATTACTCGATAACGGGGCAAACACGTCAGCAGTTACAAAGCCTAATGGATGGACGCCTTTGCACCTAGCAGCAAAAAATGGACGAAAGGATGTGGTTCAACTTCTACTCCGTAAAGGGGCAGATATCTCAACAGTAACGAACGATGATCAGCTCACGGCGTTAGACTTAGCATTTGTATATGGATATGATGATATTGCCAATATGCTATCATCTAAACCCAAGGAAGACGTACTATCGAATCGAGACTGGACTAGAACTGCTGTCTACAAGGAGTTTATGAATATTCCTAAAGATTATGTCGGGCCAACCATTTACTACGGAACCCAATCGGTAAGTCATTCCATGTTGAAGTGTCCAACTAGGCGCGCGCTGCGGATAGATCATCATGAAGGAGACTGATTTTGTTTCTAGAGTTCTCTTGGAAAGCACCCTCCAGCAGATGGAAAGTTTCCTGTAGATATGAGTAACTGGGCAGCGACCCACGGTGCTTCTTCATTATCGTGATGTTGAAAAAGGACTGCATGTATTTTCTTTGCAGGATGACAATATGAGGGAAGAGTTATCAGCGGAGCGCAAGCTCGAAGTTGGATCAGTTTTTTTAAAAATTATTTCATTTTCGTAGGAGTGTTTATTGGAAGTCAATTATGGGTTTTTTCTTTTATATTTTCTTGCTCTATTTTCTTTTGTAAGAGGAGTGAATATGGGGATGAGATAATTCGTTTACATGTATGCTGGGGGTATTTTAGTGGTGGGCACGATCGAAACATCTCGAGATATTGTCTTAGCAAGACTAGTGAAAATGAGGAGAATCCTCTCGACAACTCCCGGGCCGGTCCCGAGACAAATCACGCACAAGACTCCGCCACATTCCCACCACAAATTGAATTCGTACCAATGCAGATAAGTGTAGCCTACGAGGCGCTGGAGGCGAGCTTTGAGAGTGTCCTGGAGGACGATTTTGAAAGAGCAAAGAGCGGTATTTATTTCAATTAAAAAGCATATTCTATCCTTGACCTCATCTTAATCGGACAGATTAAGTGTATAATATGCCAAGAATTATCCTCGAGACAAGGACAGGTTACGTAGCGTCCTAGCTCAAGAATCCTCGTCCCTTTAGAGCATTGTCATTGTATGTCATGGATGACATGTTCTCGAGGCAAGGACACAAGGACGCTCGTCCTCGTGGACCACACTAATTTAGACGGATATATATGCATATGGAGTTTTAGACAGGCTTTCCATGCATGTCTCTCGAGTGATATACCATGATTGATCTCTCTAACGTCCAACCGATTCAGTATTATTACTACACGTTCACTCCTACACAATGAGTATTGAAAGATTTACAGCACCCTAAATCACTTCTATTGGTTAGTACTAAGTAATCATATACCAACAATTCTTCAAGCAGCATCAACCAATCCCACACACTCAGAACCTACATTAACCTAGCACTCCCCCTCCCTCGAAGTTTATAGCAACGCCACCACCCCCTCCATCCCACCCGCCCCGCCGGCCGCCACCTCCCTCGCAACCTCCCCCCTAATCCTCGCCGCCACCGCCGCCCCCTCCTCATCATCCAGCTCACTCCTCACCCCATCCCCATACCTCGACAGCAGCCACCTCCCCTCCGCCCCCGCCAGCACCTTCTCCCTCTCCTCACTGCTCGGCCTTGGAATAATATGGTAGTGCACATGCGGGACCACCTGCGCCGCATGTACGCCTATCCACCCCACTCTCCCCATCAGCCCTCTCCCAACAGGCAAAAAAAAAGGGGGGGGGGGGGAGCGGAAACGCCAACCATTATTCTGCACAACATTAAAGTCCGCCACGCCCACGACCTTCACCACTGCCCTTGCAACAACCGGCAACCACGCGCCGATGCCGCCGCTCTGGGCCGGCGTCAGGTCTGTGAGCCGTTCTGCGTGGGCGCGGGGACACACGAGGACGTGGCCGCGGGTGAGGGGCTGGATGTCCAGGAAGGCCAGTACGTAGGGCGTGGACAGGATTATGTGGGTTGGGGGGTCGAGGGGAGCTGCCGGTGCAGCGTGCGGGGTGGCAGGAGGGTGCGGGGGGAAGGAGGCGGCGATTGTGCAGAAGGGACAGCTTTCGGGGGCGGGGGCGGCCATGGTGTGTGTGTGTGGGGGGGGGGGGGGGAAGCTTGGGAGAATACCTAGTTATAAGATCTTAAGAGCTTGAGATGATGCTGATAGCTAATGATTACTAGGACGAAGTTGCCGGTTGTTGCCGAGGCCCCATCCCCGCGCACGTGCGAGCTATCTAGCCTGTAATGCACAGTTACAGTACGTATACAATCCACCAAGCACACCCCGGCGGGAGCGGCAATGATCAAAGCGGTTGAAGCGCACGGAAAGTTGCAGTGTTGATCATTGGCTCTTACTATTTGTTGTTGGGCTAACCAGATGTGCACAAGCTACATCTTACTAGAGAGGAATAAAGTGCCAAATTATTGCTCTCGGAAAATAAAAAAAGTAAGAAAAATGAAAGGATAAGAAAGATAAAGAGATCCGTGGGCAAAGGCTGTACTGTCTCTCGGCACTACCAAATTCGGGGTACATACATGTAGGCAGCATTATCGATAGAGAGGGGTAACTGCCCCCCCCCCCCCCCTTTCCCCGTCCTATATTTATTACCCTTTGTTGCGCCAGCTACATATCGCTTCTTGCTCTCATTCTTTATCTATATCCCCCCGCAGCCAAAAAAAAAAAAATAATAAAATAAAAAAGTTTGGTATTGTTTGGGTATCTATATATTTTGGGCATTTTTGGGTAGTCTAGCTAGCTACAGACCCATCCCGGTCGTCCCTATATTCATAGCAAGAATAGAAGAAAAGAAAGAAATAAAAGAGAATAATACTCCCGCTAATAAGTCCCGTCAACAGAAAAACACCCTCCCCAGCATGCCCCCCCCCCCCCCCCCCCAAACCCCATCTGCCCACCCCACAACTACACCGGAAAGTCATTCAAATTCTTCCAAAACGCCCCATACGGCCCATCTCCCCACTTGCCCCACCTCCCCGACAAATGCTCCGTATCCAGCACCGCAAACACCACATCCCTCCACCACCCGCCCGTAAACTCCGCCTCTAAAAACACCTCCAGAAAGATCTCTGCCACCTCTGCACTCGGATTCATAAACACCCCGCACCCCAGCGCGCCCAGCACAAGTCTCGTGTGGCCCATATGCGCCGCGACCCTCAGCAGCAGCCGAATCTTATCGCGCATCAGGATGCGGTCCGCGGGCACCGCATACTTTGGCGGGTTCGTCGGCGTCAGCGCTGGCGCATACTGTGCTGCCATGGAGAGCACGGACACGCGCTTGTGCTCGTGCCGCGGGATGATGGAGTGGTTGGACCTCACCGAGGTGCGGAAGACGATGACCTCGGGGGAGTAGATGGCGGAGACGGGGGGGAGGGGATAGAAGGCGGGGGTGAGGGTTGCGCTGAGGGTGGAGCGGTAGCAGAGTTCCTCTTCTTGCGCCATTGAGCCGGTGAGCCAGCCGCCGCCGGCCGTCCTGGCATTGGCAAGGTTGAGGACTAGCACGGGGAGGGGGTCGCTCATCACTTGGCCGAGCGAGAGGGCGACGTTGAAGGTGTCGCCGTCGACGACGCGGATACGGGTGCCGGGGTAGCCGGGGCCTTCGGGGTCGCAGTAGGGGAGGACGAAGCTGGGGCAGGCGGCGGGGTCGAGGGGTGGTGGGGGCGCGGCGGCAGTGAAGAGGCGCGAGGGAGGGGGGGCAGGGTGGAGCGCTAGAACGCCTGGTATTAGTGTGCTGCGGACGGTTGGTTAGCTAGCTATCCTGAGGCCATCATATAGCTGGGGCGGGCGTAGTTACAGAGTTTCCGCCGCAATAGCAGCCAGATTGCCGTCCTTTGTCCGTGGAGCATTCCTTGCTCCTGGGGAGTATCCGTCGTCGCCGGCGCCGTTATTGTCACCGCCTCTATAATTCCTGGTACTTTGCTTCTGTGGCGCATCCTGGCGGACCCATTGTAGATCTCTATACAACCCGTCAGGGCCTCGGTCACCGCCTCTGATTTGTCCCTGCGGTGCAGCGACCCCGGTTGCAAAATGGGGCGACGATGTTCCCGACGAGGACGCAGACGCAGACGATGACGAAGGTGCGGCGGCGGCGGCGGCGGCGGCGGAGGGGGAGGGTCGGGGAGAGGCTCGTGGGAAATTGAGCTTTGTCTGGATGAGCTTCCGTTCTGAGCTGGAGGAGGGCTCGTCGGAAGGCCTTCTGGGTGCTGGGGGCATTGTGAGTGGGGAGCTGCACCTGGAGGAAGAAGTTGTGGTGTTTCGAGATTGGAGAAGATATATGATAGCTATGGGTCACGTGCAGGTGTAGCTGCAAGGATAAGAGTCACAAGGGTTGAGTCACGCGTGCCAAGGAGACTTTCATGGGGTGTCACTCGTGCAGGGGACTCGCGAGGGGCTGCGGCAACAGCTAGCTAGGCGACGGTGCAAGCGCTCTATATATTGCAATGGCAGACAAAGAACCAGCCCGACGAACCAACAAAGGGCTAACAAAGAACGAGACAGCGTCCGAGTCCGTCAGCTGGGGGAACATGGCCATTGTCATTGTTTCGACCGATCATATGGGTCTTCGAGTCGAAGAAGCATTGGGGAAATCGTTGAAAAGATATAGATGGTAGAGTATCCCTGGTCTTCCTACTAACTTAAAAATCAGAGGCAGTAACTTATACCGGGGAAGCGGCATACTTAACCTCGAGTAGTGACCGCTATAGTGACTTATTGATAAACAATTAACGACATATCTCTAAACTCACAACCAATAGCAACAACATGTCCCTTAAACAGAAGTACCGACAGCCGAAACGGAATATGACTCTCAATTAACCTATATAGAATCTTACATTGGCTACCTACTCCACCGCTCATAGCCCGCAAAAATAAGGCCAAAAGCTTTCAAATACTGTCCAGAAAGTAGATAGCCGGCACCGCTCGACCACAGCAGCCAGAGGCCACCGCGGGGTGACGGCAAATCCATACTTGTAATTAAGTGTATGTAAGATAAATCGTTTCGGGAAAGTTCGATGTGAAGACATCATGCGTGCGTGGCACAGTGGTATGGACAGAACTGTGAAATGTATGTGAAACGCGGAGTGAACTCTGCTGGCCATGGCAGATCTAGACGTAGATTTAGACGTAGACTATCAATATCCGGCCACATACACACATACAGTACACACATCGGAACCATTCCACGTACACCTTTAATTTTCACTTAGGCTTGCCCTGGTGGCCGCCTTTCAACAATGCTATCACCCGCCCCGATCTCTGAGCTCTGGTATTCTAATGGCCATGATATCATATTAATGTGGTTTGTCTGATTAGCTAGAGCGTAGGGAGATATCATTCACGTGAATTAGTCCACAGTGGTAGAAACTCGCTCGACCTACAGGCTACTGGTGGATATGTGTTCGTCTTGTGCGATTCTAGAAAGTATCAAAGTAGGTGTTGCGATATATCCTGGGCTCTCTGTCTAGAGCTTGATCGCAGCTCCCCATCTCTAGCTTTCTTCTGGTTAGCCATGGCTCTACGTCGCCACCACTAGCTCTCAGCGCAGCCTAAACCCTCTTTCAGAGTCCCCCAAGTAAACTCCTCCCCTGTTCCTAGCTGCCAAATTCTCTGCCCACCCCCCGAAACCCAGCCCAAACCTCACTACAGACCGTTACATCCTTGCTACGTAATCAGCGCTTATCATTAATTACTCACGATCGGAGTCATAGACAGGCTCGGGTCCGGCCGAGTACTACTCGGTGCCTCCGCTTCTGCAGCTAGTAGCTCTATTTAGTTTGTACCTACAGATAACTAGTACAGCTCAGTCCTTAGATTTTGATGCCCCCAACCCAAGCAGGCCATCAATGGGGGGCTTCGGTGGGTGTGCTGATTGCTATACAGGGTCAGAGTTTCCGCTCTCGACCAATAAGAACTCTCCTAGGTGCGCAAAAAATTAAGGGTAGTACATTGTAGAGAAGAGATGACGCGGGGCAGCTTTAGGATTCCTTTGGGTGGTGTGAGCATGAGGGGCAATGTTGATTTCCCCCGTGCGTGCTCTTCCGGTTAATTGTTGTCTCGAATATGAGATTCGATGACCTCGAAAGTGTATCAGTGCTCTACCCGAAGCTGGGTGTGTTCAGGCGGTTGGTTACAGCCTAGTACTAATGTTCATTGATTATCACTCGATTTCGAGTCCTTAAGGAAGCGCAGGACGCAGGGTGGTCTACGAGGCCGTTGGGATGGTAATACGTGTAATAGCTAACAGTAAAGTAGAAGAACAGAGATACTTACATTTCAGTACCGTCGGAGCGTAGGTACATGTAGAATGCTGAGTTCGTGTGTCCATTATTGGCGTTGCTGGCAAAATAATCGTTTCGCTTTTCTACGACGGTTCACGATACTTACATGTATTTACTCGAATTTAAATTTAAGTTACTACTTGTCGAGGGCCTTACATACCCTGAGAAAAGTCAGCCGGTAGCTTCTGGTTGCCTTGATCTTGGTAGTTATTAGCCTTGCCCGGCCTATGCACAGGTACTTGACCTCATGGACTATGCTGGCGCTGCGTTCCCGTCAGAGTCGGAGATCACGAGAGACTAAAGGTGAGAGGGGAGGGGGAGTAGGAGACAAGAGTGAATGGGGTCGGGAGCCAAAGGGAAAATAAGAGCCAAAGAAACCTGAGATGGAAAAGTTCCCAATCTTTTCGTTGTCCCCTCGCTAAGAAGCCAGAGGAAAACAAAAAGAAAGACAACGAGGGACGGAAGCCGAAGAAGAACTAGAAGCCAACAGGAACGGGGACCAAAGAGGAACAGAACCAAGAGGAACAGGAGCCAAAGGGAACAGGAACAAGAGCCAAAAGGAACAAGAAGGGAGCCAAAGGGGCCAGGAACGAAACTGGAAAAGAGCCAAAAAGAAAAAACAAAAAGCTCACTAATCATTTCATCCTCTCCTCGCTATGAAGCCAGAAGACGATGAAATGAGAAGCAAGCTCCGCTTCTACAACCCAACAGGACCAGGCCTTCGAAACCGAAGTTGATCGATAGCCCGGCAGTCCTCCACCTATAGCTCAACTCTGCACAGTGAACTCTGCACAGTGAACTCTGCACAGTGAACTCTGCACAGTGAACTCTGCACAGCGGAGAGCTACAGGTGGTTAATGGTTCGCATTAGCCCCGGAGCCAACAGGGCCGGTCTCTTGATCGTTGTAACGATCATAAGTCCAGTATTCCCCCCTCTCTAGGAGGGCTAATGGCTCCGAGCGAGCCGGAATCCCACTTATTGGAACCTCTACTATTTACCATGGGCCCCTGGTAAATGGCAGGATCCATGGGAGAGGTGTGACCCCTCCCGGAGTGATGAAACTCCTGGATGAGAGGAAAGGAAAGAAGAGGGAAGAAGGGTGACGAGAAGTTGCCTTTTAAGTAGAGCACCATCCTTGGCGTGAGCAAGTACGGCTAGAATGAGAGTTTCCCCCAAGGGTTCTGCACTGTTGTGTTGAGTGTGCATGTCTAATATATGCTAAGTCTCGTTCAAAAAAAAAAAAAAAAAAAAAAAAAAGAATGGCTATGGATTCGGAGGAACAAGGTGAGGGTTCATTTACTATACGTACCCTTTTTTTGTATAAATGTTTTAAAGCACGACCCCCCGTTGGCGTCCAGTCATACATACAGACATTGAGTTAGGGAGTATTTCATACGAAGAGGGAGGAAGAGTAGCAATCTTTTTTACCAGGACTCGAGCCAATGCATGCAAGGGACTTTCTTAGTTTCTAGATTCTATATAGATGATCTTCCCACGAGTTTCTTTCCTACTTTCGACCCCGAACGATTACACGCATATAGCTAGCCCACACTCTTGATTCATATCGTCTTACCGCTTCAGCCGCATAGGGAGAGCTTAGACAAATTCTTCTTTTTAGTGAGGTGGATCATAGAAGAGACGGAGGGGTAACTGGGATCATAGATTATCACTCGGGCTCTGTTGTTTCGAATTAAACTATAAGAAGTAGGAGCTATGATCAAGGATATTAAGACGGACTGAAGATCTAGGAGCCGTGTTGTTGGTACTATGTTGCGTATCGTATAATACAGCTACTTCTCTAGCTACATGTAGCTATAGACTTTGTTCTAATCACAGTTAACCGCAAACCCCAAACGTTCGGTTCGGTCAGTGCGGTTTTGGGCAAATATGACCTTACTTACTTCTTAGCACTTGCTAGTTCTTCGTAGTCAAGCAATCCGGAGTGGTGCGTGGGAGTGTGGGAGCGCGATTTCACGTTTTACCCCACAATATTAATTCGTGAATTGAGAGCTGCGAGGGCTTAAAAACATGATATTGAAGCTGGGTTCGATCCCACACTTCTCAGCTGGAGAACTCGTCTACGCTTCACTGGGGCGTTAATATCTAGACTCAATCTTTCTCGCACTCTGCCTTGGTTCTTCCCTCGCGCCCTCCGTCAGGCAAGCCCCCAATGAACAATACCTGAGAAACTTCATGCTCCAAATTCCCGTAATATTGACACAAGCGTTTTATCCTTTTGCGCCCTCGGTATCACCCAGGACGCAAGAGGGAAAAACGGCTTAACGTAAAATACCCCCTTCCTCCGCACGAGGGGAAGGAAGAGGGCAGGGGGACCAAACGTAAATTAGCCCTCTCCCTCCCCGTAGAGGGAGGGATTGGGCAAGGAGACCTAACGCAACTCGGCCCCCTCCCTCCCCACAAGGGGGAGGGAGAGGGAGGTTGCGCCCTCTCAGCGCCAGCCCGGGCCCAGGCTAGCAGAGGAGAGGGAGGAAGGAGGAGTGGGGAAAGAGATAACCCCCCCCCGGACTCCCTTCATCCTTTATGCCACAGGGGCCAGGAGAGGGGGGGGGGTGAGACCATGCCCCATCGGAGCCCTTTTAATCAAGGACCCACAAGGGGCATGGAGGGAGAGGGCCTCCCATCCCGGCCATTCCAATGGAAACCTTTTACTCAAGGATTCCAAGGGGCAAGGAGGGAGAATGTGGGGGGTGAGTTGCCCCACATGGAGAAGAAAAGAAGAGGGACGATGGAAGGGTTTATATAGATAAATATTTCTCTTCAAGCCCCGTTTTACGTGTACTTAGGATGTGTGCCCTACTGGTGAGTACAGCGAAAGCTTGCTATAACGGTACCTTCTATAAGGGTAATCTCTCTATAACGGTAGCACTTCTCGGTCCTTTTTGCCCGGATTTCAGCACAATCACCTCTTATAT